TAAACGCGCTGCGGAAGTTCCCAAATGAAGTTCTGAAGTTCCGAAGATTGCGAACCATAACAGCAAAAGAGAGCACTAAGCGAGATTCGAACCTTGCTCTATTGACTACAAGAATCACTTACCAGTCTCTGCACTACGGATGACATGTTCGACAATGCACTCTAGTTGTTGGCGAAGAAGCATCATAAGAGACATCACATTCAAAAATTTGCGGAAGTACTGTAGGTCAAAGTGCTGCGGAACCGCTGGCATTTTTTGGAATTTTCGCAGCGTTTTGTAGCAAGTCCTACGGAAGTTCCCGTTTTCAACCAATCTGAGTGAAAATCCTGCGGAAGTACTCAAATTTAACGTTCCCATTTTTGTAATAGTAAGCAAAATCCTGCGAAATTGCTGCAAATTTAGCTTGTTTTGCGGAGTCTCCGGCGAATTGTCGGAAACTATGTGGTCTTGTGCCTGGAATCGAGGCGAAATTCAAAATAGTCTTTGTTTGCCCAGTCTTTGGCCCGATAGCTAAGGGTTAATCCCGGACGAAGGCGGTTGCTTTAGACCGCGAAGCAGACGCGAAGTGGCGTTCGAGCCTTATCATCGCTGAAGGGTATGGGATACATACAGTAGAAACCGATGACCGCCGAGCACCGCGTTTGCGTGCGCGCATCGATCCGCCTTTGTCTGGGATTATATCATCTGAATGAATCCACATGAAGTGAAGTTGATGAAACGGCCTATATTCGCAGCATGAGATTTACGAATTCTCACCCTCTCATCTTTTTCTGAAAATTTTCTTTTCTGCATTGAAAAGGCAACCAGCTAAGCCTAAGAGATTTGGGTCTGTTCTTTGATAATTTCCAACCCCAAAAATCAGGTCGTCTATGATGCGAAGAATGGTTTTTTGCAGCCTAGTGACCTTCTTCCATCCATCTTTTTTTTGAGAGCTTGCGGACTTGTATGTTTTCAAGGTACCACACCCAAGGTTGTGTTATTCAATTTTCACGCGAAAATGTGTGCCATAAAAAATCACATTGATCAAAAAAGTATGAGATGAATAAAAAGTTTTCTTCATTTAAAGACTCGAGCGTATCATTCTTTTGTCCTACAATACGCTGAAGAATCGTCGCAAAAGTATGAACCAACTTGTTTGAATGCTCCTTTCTCAAATTTTTTTCCACGAAGCATAGGCGGAATCCAACACTACGAACTACATTCTCGTAAATATTAGGTCGGTTCAAAGTTTCGTCAGTTTTTTGGAATGACTCTCAAATCTCGTACAGTGAAGGTAGACAAACGCTTTAAACTGCCGATGTAGAACTTCTTCCTCTTTCCAGCCGTTATATTCCCAGTGTGATTGAATCATTGAGTGCTGTGATAACTACTGGACATCACTACTCTTCGTTAACTACCATGTCTGAGTTGGCTAATTTTTAGATTCATCTGAGATTTGTGGGGAAGGTTTGATGACCAGCACATAGGGCAATCCTTTTCAATATTTCAGACCAACTCAATTTTTTGTAGCTCGGTGACTTGTCTTTCAAATTTCCAGAAATCTCTTTTTGAAGTGACCAAATTTTATATTCGGCATATTCTAACCTCGCAAAACATGAAAAGGTAAAAATTTCAGGTACCACTCAACACAGCTTTTTCTCCCCTTTCTTACAGTTGTTTTTCCTTGGCGAGGCAGGCGAAATTTGAGGGAAAAATCGCAGTTCTCAGTTTTACGAGTGCGCACCGACATACCACCCAGTTGTCCAAAATCTTCATATTTTGAAGCGAAAATTGCTCATTTACTTCGTAAGGTTATAGCAAAATCGAGGGTTGAAATCTCAGCATTCTGAAGATTTTGCAATTATTGGTGCAAGAATAGGTTATGCGTTTTTGCCAAAATTGAAGACTTCTGAAAATTCAGCAAGATTCAAAAGAGTAGACGAAAAAGAAGAAATGTTGCAGCAAAAGGTTTGACTTATCAGCTGGCTATCAAAACTCCTCCAAACGTTTCGGATAAAATTTCTGGAAATCGGCGAAAATCAGACAAAAACGAAGGGTTGCAATGTCCTGCGATTATTTCGCTCTCTCAAAGGATCGCACTGCTGATAGCGGGCGGAATATGAAAAATTCTGCGTCGGACAAAGCTTGAAGTGTTTGTTTATCTTTATTCTACCGTAAATGTATTTGGATTCAAAAGACTGAGAAAACTTTGAACGTGCCTATTATCGTAGTAAGTGAAAATTGTAGCAAAAAAAATGTGGAAAGGGAGATTGTACAGTTTGGATGAGTTGTACCTACTTTTAATATTTCGAGAAAATCAAACAAAAATCGAAGGAGGAAGAATTGCTTTGATAAAGGAGTTCCTGTCAGGACAACGCAATTGCACAGTAAAGGGTGCGCAATAATATTCGAGATTTCGCAAGATACATAGCACTAAAAAAACTTACTTAAGATACAAACAAGGTTTAGAATTGCCTGCAAATACGAGAAATCAAATCTTTAATGAATTCATGCAATAGAAAGAAGGTAGCAGCTTCATCTCTCTCTACGTTAGCTTCCAAATATAAATCACATTTTTTCAAGCGTTTCAGAAAGTGAGGAGAGTTTCGGCACAAACAGGATGTGCATCATCACAGTAAAAGGCTAAACCGTTAATCATTTTCTCAGAACTTCAATCGAACAGCTGTTGGTGATAAATTAGCTTGAGAACTTTGCTTGAAAGTAACAGTAATAATGGCTCGCATATGCGGCTTTTGCTGTTACACTGCTATCTCATAATCTCAAACGATGCGAAGCTGCTGTGCCAAGAATTCTGAGCTCATAGAACGATCAAGTTCTATGAATACGCTTCTGTTACATACTTCATCTGTAAAAATGAAGGACAAGTTAGTGGGCTGCATGATTTTTGAAATTTTGGTCTTGTAATTTATTGCTCAGATCATAAGTAAGTTATATTATTTGGATTTGGATCTTTTACATGTACCAGCGGAATAATGTATAGAAATATATTTGTTTTCATGTCGGTAAAAAATTGCTTAATGTCTATCTTTATCCTGTGATGTTTGAAAATTCGATTTTTGAACCTATTTGGGCCCTTTATACCCATGCACTTCAGGGGGGGGGGGAGGGTCGTAGGATGCTTTTGTTGTCTACCCATTCTATCAGTTTTTTTTGCAAATTTTTTAGCTACGTGGGTGGGAGTTGGCAGGAGGGGGGGGGAGTAGTGAGATGCTGATCACGGATAAAGCATCAATTTCAAGGAATCATGGATTGCCGCTATCGTTTATCATTTTTTGCAAACATTGAGCTGAGAAGCTAGTTGCTACAGAGTGCAAGGAGCTTGCCTTTCAGGAAAACATGGAAAGTAGGAGGGGATAGGGAACTGGCATTTGAAAGGTGGACAGGGACACGAAAATAGTTACCAAAGTAGGGAATGGTGATCGCTACTATACTGTTTCAACAGGGCCGTGCGAAGCGCGGGTACACGAGCTACGTATAGACAAATTTCATAAAATTGTCAAAAAGTCCCTTAGTTTAACACAATGACGACCGCTTGACACACATGGTGTGTCAAGCAATGACTACCGCGTGGGACCGCTTGATACACCATGTGTGTCAAGGCTTGAATTTTGTTAAATTAACTACTATACTTTGATAAACACACTCCACTAGCTTTCTCCTGCGCTGAGTCTAGCGACGACCTCTACCGTTATTTTCAGCTTTTCAGATCTACTGTAGGTGTACTGTAATTATAGTTAAAAATAACTGTATCCGTAATTATAGTTGAAAAATGCGGGCTGGTCCGTAGGAGGCCTTGGTCCCAGAAGGCAGACAATTAAAAATCTGCATGGTCGTGAATGTGTTGAAAGGAAAAATGATTCGTAAATATCTGAACAGCAGAAGTAATGAACACTACAAAAAGAGCTCTCAACAAACCTTTCGGGTCTTTCAATTATCATTTTGAACTGAAAACAGCAATTGTAACTTTTCTTTATATTAGCCTGATGCATAGTCAGCATTTTACTCAATCGTGAGCGGCAGAAAAGGTATAAAAACTTATAAATATCGTTCGATAGAGCAAAGCAAGCCCTACAAGATAGTGTACAAATAATCTTAAATTGATACACGAAAAGTAAGGAGGAAAAATCTAAATTTTCAAATGCCCAAAACTCGGTTCTTTGTTCAGAAAAATCCTACACACCTCTAACTTGCTCACGAAATAATAGCTGCTATCGCAATTAGTTATCGCATCAGCTATGCATGCATACACTTGCTGAATTCTTTCCATGGCTAAAACTCGAGATAATAAAAATCGGCATATTTTAGAAAAATCAACGCTGTGTTGTCCCAACATTGATAATTCGTACTACAAGCCTTTGGAAGTATAGGAATAAATATTCAGCCTTCTCGACGCGTTGGTCGTTGGGAAATAGCAAATTTAACATGAGAAACCCGAAAAAGGCAACATTTTCGAAATTTTGGCTTTTATTTTTCGGTTTTCAGTTACGAAAAATTTACGCAAGCATACACACGTATCTCTCAAGTGAGTAGCATATGCTTGATGAAGTTGAGAGTTCGCAGGAACTTTGTAGACCAATTTTGTGCATATAAAATTTCCCAAATTTTTTCCACGAACTTCACGCAGATCTAGCCTTTTGCGATTGTTCGGACACCGTCTTGTAGAGCTTACTTTGCTGTATCGAATGATTCATTTTAGAATTTTTCTTCTCTGCCGCTTCAGAACAAGGAATATGCACTAATTTTGCGTCAATCTAGTACTTGCAACGAATTTGGACTTGAGGTCTACCTACAGTAAATCCGGTATTTACCCGTTCCAGAGCATTTTGCTGTCATCCACTGGCCATATCTTCAAAATTTGGATTTGCTGAGTTTACAAAAAGCAAGAGTTGGTATCAGTTTTGCGAGCGATTACGTAGATGATTGAAAAGAATTTAAGTTCAATAACTTGCATAGGATTTGAAATGAACTGCGATACGGGGTCAAGCAGTTATCATTTCAAGGTTAGAGTTACTGCGGCACCTGTATATAAACGGCAAAGTGACCATACTGAACATCATCGACATGCAGGGCGAGTGGTCTAATCGTTGCCAAGCTTACCGCTTTGTGGCCTATTCGGCCGTCACTTTCTCGATCATCGCCATCCTTGGCGCTGCCACCACCCTGCCGATGGTGTACAACTATGTGCACCATGTTCGACGCACCATGCAGACCGAACTCAGCTTCTGCAGGGTAAGTAGTCCATTTCCTTTTCTCTGATGATCAGCTATGCATTTTTAGACCTCCGCTCGTGAGATCTGGTCCGAAGTCGGTGGCATGAAGGCCCCCTCAAACCGTACAGCTCGTCAAACCAATGACTGTACCCGCTGCTGTACCGGAGGAGGTGCTGGAGCTCCTGGACAGCCAGGACAGCCAGGAAGACCTGGAAACCCAGGAGCACCAGGAGCACCCGGACAGCCCGGACGTCCATCAACCCAACCTTGTCCCATTGCAACTCCTCCTCCATGCAATCCATGCCCAGCTGGACCACCTGGACCACCAGGACAACCAGGAGAAGCAGGACCACCTGGAAGCAACGGAAACCCAGGACAGCCCGGAAACCCAGGAGGACTGGGACAACCAGGACCCAAGGGACCTCCAGGACCAGCTGGAAGCCCCGGACAGCCAGGACCACCAGGACAGCCAGGAGACAATGCTGCTTCAAGTCCACCAACCCCAGGACAGCCTGGACCACCAGGACCCCCAGGACCTCCTGGACCTCCCGGACAAGATGGACAGCCTGGAAATGCAGGAGGAGCTGGTATGTTATTCTAACTTGGGCATCTCGTTCACTTTGAGACATTGAATAATTCTTAGGGCAACCCGGACCCAAGGGACCACCTGGAGGCGATGGACAACCTGGAAGCCCAGGAAATGCTGGCCGACCTGGAGCCCCTGGACCTGGAGCCAGACCTGGAGAGCGCGGAATCTGCCCCAAATACTGCGCCAACGACGGCGGTGTCTTCTTCGAAGATGGAACTCGGCGTTGATCTGCGATCGCTTGAATCAATGTTTTCCCGTAGTAATAAATGTTTTAGAAATGACAGCTATTCGAGATGAGTTGTTACACAAAAAATGTCAAGCAGACAGCGCTTGAATTTATCGGATAATTTAATTATCGTACACTCTTCCAAAGTTCGAAGCAGTTCCTCATTATAAACGCGATTGCTCATACTTACATTCTTTTTTGAATAATTTTTGACTTCAGATAATATGGGAATATGCTTCAAATACCGTTTGAAATGAGTAAGGATTACAGTAGTCAAAGCTAAACAGAGAACTGGCGCATATTAGGTCAACGGATATTTTCTGTTACACTTTTTCTTTTTATTCTGAAAAAATTCCAAAGCTTACTGAGATTTTCATATTTGTCATTCACCTAGGGCATAACAGAGTCTACCAATCATCGTGACTGATTGGCGCAAATGCACAAATGAACAAAAAGTTTACGACACTCTTGCAAACACACATTTTCATTTTTTTCATCTGATTTTTTTCTGTGTCTGTTTGGGCTCTTATTTTTCTTTGATTTTTTATATGTCTTGACTCATCCTACGGAAGCAATCTGATGTCTCTAATTTCAAAAATGTGGGTGAAAATATCAGAATTCTTGTAGAATTTCAAAGATTCGTGTACTCATGTGCACCGTGCAGTAGTCAGACATAACATGGAAATATTTTTTTTAGATTTTTAGAAGAAAAAATGCAACAGAGAAAACCCGCCAATCTAACAGAAATTCAAATATTGCATAGAAGTAGTGAATGACGACCTTTATTTTAGTAAAATATCACTTTGAAATTCTAGCTTCTCTGTGATTTATTTATGCTTTTACATAAAGAAGTGATTAGTCCAGTAACTATCAAAGAAGTAGTAAGTACAATAGTGGAATGACTTTATTTCTTCGAGAACTAGAGAAAATAATCGTCATGAATCTGTTGGAGAAAGAGAAATGAGAGAAAAGCTTGCAGCACGATGTTTCTCTGTCCAAGAATGATTGGAATGATGGAACGTTTTGCGGAGAATATAGCGTTCTGTGACTGATCATGATTAGGAACGGAGGCAAATGTTGGAAATTCTTTCAATACTTAGACTATTTTTTGGTTTTATTTTGTGTGTTGGCGGAACAGAATTTTGCAAATTTTTTTGGATTTTTTTTTGCACAATATAGTTGAAAATGTCATAATAAGTATGGGTATAGCGTTTGAATTATTTTTTCTTTTGCAATTTGGCCTAGCTCTGAAACGCAATAGAATTGAACTGTACTAGCCATTACACAAAGTGTGAAAGTGAAAAGAATGAAGAGAATGAAAGACTTACAGAACTGGACGCATTGACGGAAGCAACGACGGATCTCTAACTAGCACTTTACACAACACAACAGCCGAGCTCCAGTTTTTGCCAAAAAAATGTAGAGAGGGTAAAGCACGTAGTAAAAGGGGGTTTAGTTCCGTAGTCTCGTTGAAAGAGTTACACTAGCTTGAATGAGGTATGAGTCTGGAAGCCACCACGTAGCAGTGGGTTTGGGACTTGTGTAGAAACCTAAAAATTAACAAAATACCCAAAAGCAGCTAGGAGATTTTTTTGAATTTTCTATTTTTAATCTAGTAGAAATGTCTTCTGTTCTAAAGCGTGACTAGTTTTTTTGTATTCTTCTACTTAAGTGGATCTATAAAATATTTCTCTGAAAATTTCTCTACTACATTCAAATTGATCTTCAATCGTTTTTACATGATAATCAACTTCTATGCAAATACGTAAAGAACCACTGGCAGTACTGGTTATGTATAGGAAATTCACGGATTTTGTAAATCATCACTGTACAGATTTTTATCTATAGTTCATTTCTGGAATTTTCTGATCGTTATCAGTTCTAGCACTATAGTCATAATTTATGGTTGTTTTTCAGAGAAAATCGTAAGGAATCTGAATAGAAAGCAAGCACGTTTTCTCCTTTTTATTCGTTGCCTTCTATGACCTGTTTGGCATGACATCAATGAATCAAAGCTTGAATAAAATATAAAATGCCTTCAACTTCATAATGGTTTTTTTTTTGCGGATATGTAGGATACGCACTATAAATTTTTGCAACCTTCAACTTTCTAATGACGAAAGAATGCGGCTGTGTCACGCACGCTGTAAAAAAAATTGCAAGAGTAGCAACACAAAAGAATTTTATTGGACGGTTTGAGATATTTGTTCTCTGGGAAAATCCATCCACAGATTCTACAAACTAGAAACTTTTATCTTTACACAGTGAAAAATTGTGGTAGAATGAAACCTGATGTACGTAAAAAGGGGATCTTTTCGAAAACAAAAAAAATCGCATATTGAAGGGATGCGGGAGAATATCACATCATCTCTGAATGAAAGTGGAGTATACAAGAAGTTGAGGTGTCATGTACACCTCTTGCTTTCCTCAAACACCTGCCTTGAAATATAATCTAATATCTCGGGTTTAAAAGCTAAATTAAGCACAGGTTCTAAGACTGGCTCATTTCAGAATTTGCTTTTTCTTATCCAGACCAAAAATTGTGGGATAGCTATGGCACATTCACGAAATATGGAATAAAAAGGATAAAGGATAAAGGATTCAGCGTCTTCAATGCCCTCTGAGGGCATGCGCCGAACGCACACACTAACTGCATGGTCGAAGAGGCAGTTGTATGCGTGCGAACCTATTGCAGTAACTTGCGGGGGCCAGCCGTTTCCAATTCAGAGCTTTTATCCTCCCAGATTACTCTGGTACCAATTTGCCGGCCCCGAAGGGTAGAGGGCTTGGTTGGCCCAGGGGCGGGGATCGAACCTGTGTCCGATCTGGTCATAGCGGCCCCTCATACCACTACGCCACTCGTCCCCTTATGGAATAATCTGAGAAATAAAAAAACGTAATCAAAAGCGTTTATGAGTAATAAAGGAAGATGAAAATGATTCAATACGGAGTACCAATTCAAACTTCTATGTATACAATACTCCAAACATCCTGTCTCCTGAGAATGCAGATTTTTGCTTTGCAGACTACCAGACCAGACTGGCATAAACAACCTTAATTCCAAATATGAACTACTCTGATACTCAAATTTCTGGAAATCTCCAGCACACTGAGCTACGTTCAAAGTTGCAGAAAAGGCATGTAAAAGTAAGTCCAGAGCTGTCTCCGTGCCAGATCTGTGTCAGCGCCGTGCTAGCGCCATGCCGGAACTACGATCGATAAAATGACGTGCGCACGTGTCCAGCAAGGTGCTAGCACAGCGCTATCACAGAGCTGGCACACGGATAACTCTGGAAGCCTTACTTTTACATCAAATTCATTGTGACCTTCTTTTGTTATGGAATTGCATGCAGTTCAGTGTGCTTGCAATAAGACTGTGTGCTTTTTTACATTTTTTGTAATATTTTCGAGGGGGTTTATCACAGTCATGTTTCACATGTGGAAAGCAACAGATGATATGAAAGAGCAACGAAAATAGCAACGAAGGCAATCGCGAACACCGGAAGTGTTCTGTTCCCAGAGACTGGCAGATGTACACTAACGTCAATCGCCAACGGCGTAGAGAGCCAATGGCGATGGCGTGGTTGAACTTTTGCTCGACCGGTGATTCACAGAGTTATTTGAGAAAAGCAATGCGGAGGCATGTAATATGCATTCTTTTAGTACGGTGAATAAAACTGCGGAGATGTGGGGGGGGGGGGGGAGGGGGGTGGCGGTATCAGATGGGCAGTTTTGAGACAAATGCCCTGAACTTCCGCTGCAAATCTAGGGAACGGAACTTCCGCAGCCCTTTGTAGAAAGTTCTGCGGAAGTTTCCATTTCGATCAATCTGGATCAAATTTCTGCGGAACTACCTATTTTCGACGCTTAAACTTCTGTGATAGTGAAAAAAATCCTACGGAACGCCTGCAAATCTTTCTGCGGAAGTTCCCAAGGGTTTTCTAAGATAGTTGAAAATAATGAAGACGGAGAGCGGTGCAGGTGACAAAATGAATCAGAATCCAAGATTTTTTGTCGACTTTCTTTTAGGACAAACTCAAAATTTGGTAGTTTTTCTATCAGATAAAAATTTGTTCAATGTTTAACAACAATTCCTATAGCGATAAACAAGTAAACAAGACATACCAAAGATCATACAAAACTATACAGTGGGTGAAATTAGACGTAAATGACCAACAAGCGTGTGAATATTTGCCTGATTGACACATCATTTTCTATACGAATTGTAATTTAGCAGCCATGGTGACAAGTATGTCCGAATGGAAAACAAATTGCTTTCAAGATGAAAAGCAGATCGATACATATAAAATTTGTGCACAAATTATTGAGCATTCCGGCCTCTGAAAAACCATGAATAATTCTAATAAAATAGTGAATTATTCGACAAGTACATTTAGGAAGTGTTCGCTGTCATATTGATGACATCGAGTGGGTTGGCGTGGTCAGCGTCTGTCTCTCACTCTCTTCATAGACTGTGTAATGCCGGATGGCGATCACAGCTGGATGAGATGGTTGGACTTTGAGGTAGTAAACGGCGAAATGTCGTTTTTTCCTTGAATTCATCCGAAATCCAACATTTGGAGGAAATTTCTCGAAGTAATCCCTTGACTTAATTCCCATCAAACAATTTTTGAAATGTTGTGTTTTCTCATTCGCGCGCTCCATTGTGCTATCATCTATTCTATGACTAGGAGACGCGTGACCGCATTGCGGACATTGTCTTAACATGTTTGAGTTTGTTCTTCCCTGTTTACAAAGAGTGAATAAACCTGGACGAGATAAATGAGAAGTATAAACCTGCTGAGTACACAATTAAGCTTGTTTAGACGTGTGCATTGCCGTCTTGCGCCTCCTAGTCATAGAATGAATGATATAACGTAATAGATACCGTTATTACATGTCATTTTGATGCCATTTTAGCAAACTCCAAAAAAGCATAGATGAATGAAGTTTCTTGGAGTCCGTTAATACGTTACCATAAAAATTTGGAGATTTCGAATTCTGAGAAACGGAAACAAATCAATTTCAAGAAGTTGCAACTATCAGTCAACCAAGTTTCAAGCATGGGTTTTTTCAAACAGGATTCGATTTCTGATTTTTGATCTTAGAAATTTGGTCTTTTCAGCAGTTATCTGCTGTCAAAGATCGAATCCCGTTTTGCGTAACAGTGTTTTACAGGATTTGAGGGTAGGTAAAGACTGCGGATTAAGAAGGAATAAAGGAGAAAATTAGGGGGGGGGGGGGACGAACACTAATATGGCGTTCACGAATGTCGAAATTTTTTCACATGAGTTCTGTCTCGTCAGTGCTTCAGCTAAGTAATCTACCGTATCTCCACAGTAAGCTTAAATTTGCAAAAATCCATCGTGCAGACCCATTCTTCAAAACATGTTTATCAACCTTCCTCCTCCCTCGCATCCAATGTTCAATGGAGATGGTAATTTTGACCCATAGGCACAAGCCATACATGATTCACTTGATCCGTTTGATCCATGTCATTTACTTCGCTATTGGTCAAATCACCGAACTGACCAATAGCAAAGCGGATGAAGTGAATCAAGTTGACCGCCGCTTCGCTATTGTTCAGTCCATTGTTTTGACCGACGGCGAAGTGGAACAAATAGATGAAGGATGGCACTTGCCTACTCAAATGTTACCACAACTTCCCATAAAGGCGTTACCATGGGAGAAGATTACAAAGTTCTCGATGGGATTTCAAACATATCTTAGACATGAAAGGCTGTAAGGCTTGTCAGATCCCGGGTAAAATGCGAGATCCAAAGTTTGACTTTAATATACCTTGAAATCTCTTCTAAGCACTGTTCATATGCTGGCCATTCAATGATTCTTACTCCTCCCACATCAATGCGCCTCTAGCCCTTGCGTTTTCAGGAGCGCCGCGCGACATGGCGCCGATTGCCATGCTCCAGTCATAACATTCCGCGCCGTTCCATCGTCCTTTAATCAATACACGCCATTCTCTCGTTTTTCTTCACTGTAACGGCTGCTATGGTGTGTGTTCCATGCATATTTCTCCCGATTTTGCTTGCCATCTACCTCAAGTTCATCCAGCCGTTTGTGTTAAGGTGAAGATCTAGTTATTTTACCCTAGTTCGGATTTTTATTGCGACTTCCTTTTCGTTTTGAATATGATTGTTTTGAAAGCTTAACAGGTATTCTTTTCTGACATTAGTATCTGTCTGTAGTCTGTTTTACCTGTTAGAGTAGTGTATGCTGTTTTATAAATGTCCAATATTTGATAACCTGTTAGATTTGTGGACGAACGCACAACCATATGCTGCCGTAAACTGGCGTTCTCTTTTCAAGGTCGTGGTTTGATTTATTTCTCGTATGTGCATATATATAGGTGAATAGTTTTCACTAAAGTTATTCACAATACCATTTCTGATCACTCTCTTCGAAAACTGCAAAAAGCTGCGGCGATGTTGAGGTATGGATCTATTGTTGGTGTTTATTCTATAAGGTAGCGCCTATTTGGGACGACAGGAGGATGGCCTGGCTAAAAATTTGTGTCAGACTTTGGAAGTTTCTAGTGCTGATTAGTTTCATACTTACTCAATATAGATACTTGTTAACAATACATATCCGTAAATTTCAAGCTGTGTACACCTCTAACTCCAAAAATGCAGTGCAGAATAGAACAGAAATCTCGAGCTGTGTTGAAAATGTTCCATAGGCTTTTTCAGAAAAAGTTGTCATATTTAAATAGCGATATTTTTTTGCACTTCAATCATTTTTTTTCTGACCTTGGTTCCAGAATACTTCCTGAGAAATGGGTAACATTCTTGGATCCCTATTTGTACCCAACATGCCCTGCAAAGCCTCCACCAACAGTTTCGAAGGAGAATGAGACGGGTAAGATTTTGTTCAAATGTATAGCTAAGTTGCTTTGTTTGTAAAGGGCAGAGCATAACCATGCGATTTTATCATCTCGCAATTTTCCCAACAAGACAACTGTTACGAGTCCATTGCATGCCGACCATCTTGCATTTCGGTTGTGATAGCTAGTCACGCTCAGTCTTATCGGAAAACTCTCACAACCGAAATGAAGATGGTCGGCATGCAGTGGACTCGTAGCAGTTGTCTTGTTGAGAGTATCGCGAGACAAAGAAATCGCGTGATTATGTCCGGCCCTAAATGTTTCATTCCTCGCTGCTTTAGGCCTCGGGCATATTCACGCGATTTGGCAGCGCTTCATATGTTTATAAGTCTTCGTAAGCGCATTCTGAATGTACGAGTACAGGGCATACTTTCGACTTGTGTAGGTTATATGCGCTATGCATCGGTATCCTGCCTGTGTTGGATTTGAAGACATCTGGCAAATTGCACAATCGCGTCGCGACTGAAATCGCATGAAGGATGCTCGAGGCCTTACGCTGATACACTTTATTCTCACATCGTTGCTTTTCAGTTCCAGGTTGTGAGAGCCTTTTTTTTTCCAGGAGATGCTTCAGCAGCTTGCTGTGCAGGTGGAGAGACTGCAAAAGAGTCAAAAAAAGACCTCTAAGCACTGCTCTGCAGAGGACTGTCACTCAGTACGTGTACGCTGTGATAAATCTCTTGTCATCACTCTTTTTACTTACATGTAAATAATTTCGAATGATTGATGTCCTAATGTAGGGGATTTTAGATGTTCGCCGTTTTAAGGATTGTATGTATGTGCAAATTATTAGTGTTTTCCTTTATAGAGGTTGTTCTTTTAGAGAATTACATAATGAGTTTTATGATCATATATTATTTTTCGCAAGTAAATTCTTCTATATTTTCATGTATAAAGTAGTGGCTTTTCATAGACCATTAGTATTTTCTTTTGAACATATAGTCGAGTGGATTTTCCGCTCAATGTAAGTGTGCTTGCACTACAGGTAAAATGCGGTAAATTGCGCGTGAAAAATAGCTGCGCCTGTGACGCCGACCAAGTGCGCGCGCAAATTGCCGGCATTACTAATGTGGCTGTTTGTTCACGCCCAAAATTTACCACATTCCACCTGCAGTGCAAACACAATATATTGAGCAGAAAATCTACTCGACTGTAAAGACTGAGGAAAGCTCATGCTGCTTAACATATTGAAGCAAAATTTGCATGTGAAGAGGTTAGCTGTTTCGGACACGAGCGCAGTCGCGTTGCGGCATATCCGCTGGATGCAGCGACTACATTTAGGTAAGTTTATTCACTGATCAATTGTAATGATGATTGGAAATGAGAGAGACCTTCAAATTCCTAAAAAGAAATTCCAAACAATGATCGCAAATGCACAGAAATTGCCTATCAATCATCATGATATCATGAGACGAACGTTGAGATGGGCGTCACTATAGTCTTTTCCGTATCCGACACATATTGATAGATCAAATGTCGTACGGTAACTGAGAATAGCCATGCTTTTTCGTTACCATATCGAATATAGTAATAACTAAATTGAATTATATTTGATTTGAGATTTTTATTGAGGGTGATTCTCACCCATCCTGAGGTACAGTCCATCTCCAGGTGTCCACTTGCGGTAAGGCGGGGCGCTCACAACCTGCGTAAATTTCTCGCCAAGCACTTGGGTCCTTCTGTAAGGTGTGATTTACTGTACTTGTACTGTGGAATGCGAAGATTACCGTATCATCGTTAGCGTGGAAGAAGAAAAGTGTGAATTCTTGGTCGTGTTGCATGTAGAACTCCAGTCGGCAACCAGCATTCCATTTATACTGTTGAGTAGTGAAGGCGCCTATAAAGTATCTAGTTACTAATTTCATATGGTGACCTCGTGTGCAATCGACCAATCAGAGCATCCCGCCCCGCCCATTTTTGCGCTTACTGACCAATCAGAGCGTCTTGCCCCAGTTTCGCACGTGCATGGTAGTGAGTGCACAATCTTACCTGCTGGAATAGTCAGTTGTTCCAATGGGACTTCCAACGGTGCTGCTTTGGGGTAAGGATGTAAGGGACGCTAAACATGCAAAGTTATAGAATGGAATGATACCTTATTTGCGAGATACCGTAACCCTACCTGGATAGGTGAGAAAATCTCAAATTCACCCGAAGTTGTCATTTCAAATGATCCGGCTCCACCGAGTTCAATAGGCAAGCAGCATTCATCTATATGCTCTAATAAAGTGTCCTTTGAATCTCCAGAACAGATTATGATTTTTGACTGAAGAACAAAAAATCAATGTATCGATTTTTGATTGCGAACATTTGTTACCTTGTAGTCGCTGGGTATGAATGGGACACACGTCTGATAGAGAAGGTTTACGAATTTGGGAGCATTGACAATGATAATTTGTTGGATGAGTTGTGGATACTGCTCGAATAGGGTGCCCCAAAGTATCCGGTAGGGACCTAAGCAAGATGTTTGGGCAAATTCTGGGTTGGAAGCTTATACTCCTCTGACCCGCAAGGACGGACAGCAGAGTGGTACTGAAACAAAGTCCTTCCAAATCCATGATCAGCACACCACCGCTCTGCTTGTCCATCCGTCGTTCTTCCTCCTCGACTCGTTGTTGTAGACGTTCCATTGTACGAAATTTCATCCGTAAGAAACGCGTAATCTATAATGGACAACTATTGACTGTTGAAAATAGGCATATTTCCATGACTCCATGTTCGATTGCTTATGAATCTTGGTTAATTTCGTAAATTGTGGTTGTTTTCTTTTGCCCTAGCTTGACTAGTAAAAGGTTCTAACAATTTTGATCTCGGCTAAAGAAAACAATTACATATTGACATGATTTTGCTCCATTTTTTGCAATGACTTAGGCCGTATTTTGAGACCTCCTCTGTTAACAATAAGATGAAATATGATAGGAAAAAAAGCTGCATTTTCCAATTTTTACTAGGCTATCAGACAAGCGAAGTGAGAGAAAGTCCTTAATCACCCTTGGAACAGTTGTTGTTTGGTCATACAAGAAGTTCCAGAGAAATCTTGGATATTGAATATTGCGAAAAATCTGTCTTTTAAAGTATTACTTACGAAACTTCAATCTCAGAAAGATTATCAGCTTCGAATACGCCACTTTCAACTGTTCCAAGAAACCTTTCAGTGCATGTGGACACTGTTCAATTTTTGCACCATGATTTTTGGAATTCTGTGTTCATTTAGTTTATTTATTTACTTAATGAATTCTAGTTTGAAGGAAAATAGAGAGAGAAAATTTTGCGCTAGGGTGCTCGAGTTAAAATTCCTCGAGGGCATATGGCAACGATATGAAGTGGTCGAGAGGAACACCTAAAAAGTGATTTTTCTTTTTTTGGTCACTAAGATTGCTAAAACTTCTAGTAAAATTTAAACTTATTTTTGATTTTAGTTTTATGACATACTCCTTTCAACTAGGAGAAGCTGGTGGTAATCGGATGTCTCTGAGAATAGCTACAAATTTCGATTTTTTAAATTGATTAATCGATTTGTTTTACACTGGTTTTATAAAAATGTACTATGAAATACTACGTTTGATATGCATAACAATAAGCATATTCTCTGAATTGATTGGTCTGTTTAAAGGTTTTTAAAACATGTTTTTCTACTATTTGGTGCAAGAATTGTGCATTAACCTAATATATTACCATGTAGAATTTTCATCGCTCCCCCTCCCCTCCCCTCCTCAAATACTGCTGCTGCTTTGTGGTTGACATCATTCAGTTCCAATCAATTAATGTACCATAAAACCACAGTATTTTCAAAGGGTCATGTCTAAGGTTCTATTAATATTTTACACTAAATTTTTAATCGTGAAAGGAACTATGGACCGAATCATGATCCTAGGTCTCCCGCCTTTTGAGTTTGTCTCGCCAATGAATTAGAATTAGAATTTATTAAAAAGATCAATTTACAGAGTTTTTTCTCGTTACGAAATTCGATTTGTTATCCGCGAACGACATCTCTTTGCATTAGTCTTTCACGTTTTTCTCTAATATTTCGAGGGTGGTATATTATCGCAAGTCGTTAATTGGTCCACAAATTAGGCACGAAAACGGGCAGTTTTTGTCATTCACGCTACGATGCACACGCAATATGGTTTTTTTTTTCAAACAAAAACTCATCAAAATTTCTATTGAGGATTTTGTAGATTATTTGTAGTATCTTGTTCCTCTTTACTCCGCTTTTATAGTTATTGCTTTCATGTTAATATTTTAGTGACCTGAATTGGGGCAACCAAAGAGTTCTCTAGCAAAAATGGTAAACATAAGTTGGTAAACAACTTACTCGGATATTATCGACGACACCGTTGAGATCGATTTGTCCGCTGTGTTCGAATAATAACACCTGTAAGTATTTGATTTTACTATCAATTAGGCAGCGTTCAGTGTTGTCCCTGCGCCAACGCTGTGCCAGGGCCGTTCCAGCGCTGTGCTATCCCCGTGCCGGAACCCATGTGATCGATCGATATGTAGACGCGCCACGTATCGATCGGACTGCATTCTAACATTGCGCAGCACAGCGCTGGCACAGCAACTCTGGACGCAGAAGTAGCATTATCTTACCTTGTTGTCGTCAACTCGATTTCGTCCAAGAATCGTCAGTGGAGCGTATTTCTCAGCTTCATTGTCAATTTCTTCACTTTTTGTGTAAGGCAACGATGTAAGTGACATTATTTCTCGAATGTTCAAATGACGTTGGAGGACCTCAAACATAAGTTATACCGATCAAATCGATATATTGATTTCTTGATTCCCACCTTAGCGGCTTCCTCTTCATCTCCTCCATAGGCGGTTATCCAACGATGTACATTATAATTATGCTTACAGTATGGATGATCGCTACCCCCAGCTGCCGTACGTACCCGTTCAATGGCGGCAAGTTCGTCGGCAGTTAGGGGCATGCTGTAATGGATTGGACTTCATAGAAAATAAGTATTTCCGCAATTGCGGACTCGCCAACAATCGAGATTAAACGACGGATCTGATTACGCAAAACGCATGTAAACGTGAAAAAATCAGGGCGCAGAAAGATTTATGATGCAGCAAAGGTCATGTCGAACGTTTCGAAAAAAAAAGAAATTTTTCAATATGCTAGATTCCACAGTTTAGGCTCTTAGGAACCGGATGTTATCTTAAAAATAGCTTCGAAAATCTAAAGTCTGTTATTTATTTTCAAATTGATGAATGATTAAGAAGCTGATAGAAAATGAGTCACAGAAGGGTCTTGATTTTTGAATTTTTTTTTCAAAGCAATTTGGTTCTTGGTAACGTAAAACTTGCTTGGAATTTGCCACGAGTATAACAGCGTTCGCCGATTTGTTTCATACTGTTGATCTAAAGATGTGAGAAATACGCAACTTCCTCGAGGAACCTAAGAAAAATCCAAAAAATTGAGACGTCGAGACCTGAACACCGTATATGGAAACTCTGTATAGCGAACGCTCTCTCTTTCATCTCATAAAAGTGAAAAGTTTTTTTACAGTTTTTATTTCGATAATGAATGCCTGCAGAAATTCCTTTCATTGAATCAAAAACCGTGTTGTCGAAAGGGGTCATTTGATGACACAAATTTCTGCAATTTGAGTTCGATACGGGGTTGTCGACGTCATCAATCTTTCTCCTTTTTTTTTCTAATGACTCGCATTCTTTTCTTTTCCAAAGAAATCGTCATTCACGTTAATTTTGACAGCTGCAGAAATCATGTATTCACATCTGGTGGTAATCTTGTTTGAAGTATCTAAAGTTTATGTCGAAAGAATGTGTTTTGCGAGACTCAGGATATTCATGAAAGACTATTATTGGAGTTTAGTTGAAGATTTAACATGAAGAATATTGTTCAATTGAAGATTTAGATGACAATAAATTGTATGAACTCTTCATTTCAGAGCAAGTTAAATGAAGCCTTATCGAATACAAAATTAGGACAAAAATAATAAATTAGAAATAGACCAAAGTTTCACAAAATAGTTTCCTTTTGACTATTTCCAGAGTAATTATCAGTGATTATCTCATTTTGTTAAATGATAATATTCATCCTTTCGCTTTGATATCGCAAAAGGAGATGGCATCTTAGAAAAGTTTCCATGGAAGAAACTTTAGTTGAAGAGGAAATCATTTGGCAAGCAAAAAGCTAGGGTTTTTTTCTTTGTGTGAAGGGCAATGGACGCTCTTTGACTTGTGCAGTCCTTCTAAGAAGTTAGGAAATTTTAGGATTGAGACGGTTAAAATTTTACACGAATAAGCTTAATTTTAGTACAATTATTAGGTGGGTGCAAAAGTTCTGTCGTTTTATTTTCTAAAATTTGTAACTTCGCCAGATTTCAATGGATTTGCTTGCTTGTAATTTTATTTGAAAGAATAGGTCTTCCGCTTTTAAGCTCTGTTTTGCGGAGCTTCTGTTTCACACTCAGTGCCGAGATAAAAATGGAAAACTAAGACCATGTAAACTTTGAGCATTTTAAGGTAGGTTACCAAAAATCTGGAATGCTGCAGAAAAACCTGAAATCGTCAGTACATATGTTTTTTGGTCTACTCTTTGCAATTGTGAAGAGTTTGTGCTGTTTGAACGTCTCCGTGAGAAGTTATGAATATCGAGTTTACCACGGGAAACGCCAAAATCAATTGATTTGTGAATTTTCGCGAAAATCATAACTTCTCACAGAGACGTCCAAACAGCACAAGCTCTTCACAATTGCAAAGAGTAGGCCAAAGAACATATGTACTGACGATTTCAGATTTTTCTGCAGCATTCCAGATTTTTGGTGACCTAACTTAAAATGTTCAAAGTTTAAATGTTCTTAGTTTTCCATTTTTATCTCGGCACTGAGTGTGAAACAGAAGCTCCGCAAAACAGAGCTTAAAAGCGGAAGACCTATTCTTTCAAATAAAATTACAAGCAAGTAAATTCGTCGAAATCTGGCGAAGTTACAAATTTTTGAAAATGAAACGACAGAACTTTTGCACCCACCTAATATATGTTTTTTTTGAAAAGCTGGAGTCTTTTCTCCACTTTTCACTTCATCTCTAGGTTCGCAGACATCTCGTAGTCATTGCTAGATCAGAAGCTCTCAAAAATTCAAAATTACCACGTTAATTTCATGAAATGCTTATGAATTTCGCGCTTTTCAAAAGAAAAAAAAACAAGATAAGAAGACCCAAGGTTTAAGAAGTTTACAGAGAGAAGAAGAGAAAAATACAATTTTAGAGTACATCACAACACGCAGGCTGAATTGTGAAAATCTTGGATTGTTCAGCATCTATATGAAAGATGACGAGATTATTCAAAATCTTAAAAATGAATCCAAATCGTAAAAAATAAGGCTAAAGCATAAGAAACAAGGAACCATTTTTTTAAATTCCAAAATATCTAATCAATTATAGAGACAATGTAAAAAAAAATAGTCCTGCGTCCAAATTTTTTCTGCCTTATGAGAGAAGTAGATGAAAGCTACTCTATTAAGCCCAAATCGTTGTTATCTACATATTCGTCGATGATCTTATCGCATTTATGGAAACCAGAAATCTTAGACGAAGCGGTTTTAGCAGAGGTAAGCTGTGCCTTAGGATTGTGGGGAATGGTTACGGTACGAAGGAGTGATGAATAAGTTTTTAGTAAAAGGCGGATAACAAGTAACGATTGAAGATATTGTAATCATAAAAAAATGAGTAAAAAGTGATAGAATGAATACTATTAGGTTGATGCCTAGTTTTTTGCACCAAAATTTTTTAAAATTTGTTACTTGCTCCAGCATCAATGAAATCTTTTGACTTGCTTGATAATAGAAGTGCAAATACCAAAAAAAAAATTAAAATTTCCGATTTATGGTTGCTAAAATTGCTAAAACGTCTACTAAAATTCAAATTTATTTTTGGTCTTGGTTTCATAACCTACTCTTTTTGACTAGGACAAGTTGGATGTCTCTAGGAATAGTTATGAATTTCGAACTTTCAAAATCAACTTGTTGATTTTGTTTGATATTGATTTTATAAATTACTATAAAATGCTGCTTTTGATATACATAACAAAGGGCATATTGTGTAAGTTGATTAGTTCTTTGAGCATTTTTAGAGTGATTTTTTCTATTTTTTGGTGGAAGAATTATGCATCAACTAATAAACTGCCGTCGTTTCAATGGGTTTACAAAGAGTTCATTTTTTTTTGAGACAAACGCAGCTGTCCGCTTCAATGAAGGTTACAGTTAGTAAAGAAAAAATTGTATTCGATTATCTTTGACCTATACATCCCCTACTATCACAAAAAGAGCGCAAACATCCAGAATTTAGGCATAAAGAAAACAAAAACAAAAGGGTTTCATTTCCTGTAGTGCTGAAACCAAAAGCAGGAGAATGGTTACTCGAGAGCATAAATATCAGCCTTGTCCAGCGAAGGTGTTTAGCGACTAAATCATAATTGAAGCACGAAGCTTTAGCACCTTTGCGTCCGGTTTTAGAGTGTTGGAAAGATGCGCTCATGCTATGTCGGATTCTCATCCGGCTTGTTGGCTATCTACGTCAAGATGGCAGTCGTAGATAACCTAATTTACATTCGATACTCATTAAAATGCTAAGGAAGCTGAAATGGAATATTTATGAGCGAGCGAGTAGAAGGGATTTCAAACGGTGCGCTTAAAGGCAGCGTCCGGACAAAACTTCGAACGGATTTTTTTCGCTTCCCTAGGTTCATTCCTCCCGCTGATTCTGGAAATGCAGCTTGAAGGGCACGAAAACGCCGAAAACGGGCTTTTCCAGAAGCTCTTGATCTGAATTTTGTCGCCTGTCGCCAAAGTTAAGACGCAGAGTCTTTGTGGGACCTACGTCTTGACAGTGTGCAGTTTGCGCACTCTGGCTTATCGAACTAACTCGTCCCGGTCGCCGGGGCTTGTCCGGTTGCCACATCTGAAGGTGATTTCTCGCTTCAGAAGCAAATTGGTGTATTGCCAGTTGGGCAAGAACCTTACCAGGACGGGCGTCCCTGTGCTCTACATTTTCGTATTTGCCCAGACGCTACCTTTGAACGCAATGTCTATGCTAAATCTAACTCCCTTTGCTTGATGCCGGTCTCGAGTGTAGACCCCAGGAGAGGGGCATCTGCGTTGGTCCGGTTCTCTAATGTTGTTTCTGAATGGAGATAATGCGCCTGGAACATCCAAAGTGCTGTCAAGCCCCGCCCAGATCCTATCAAGCTCCGCCCACCCATGTACAGGTGCCATGCGCGTCTCAGACAGGGTCCTCAGGAATTGGAGGTTTTTTGGAGGTTTTGAACAATTTGAACTTCATAACTTTAATCAAGGCCCCAGAATGGCAAAAATACGGGAGGCCAAAATTTTGGGTGGACGCTGCCTTTGAGCTTAAAGTATCGGGCAAACTCGCGAAGCGGAAAGAAAGATAAAGTGGAAGGCTTTGCGTCTACTTTATGCAATCTTTGGGACGATTTTCATGAACAATCCCATTTCTCTGATTTTCCCACTGCGTTTCGTCTATAGCTGTGATTTTCCAAATCTTGTTATCTCTGCATAGGAAACAGTTTTCCATAACATCACAGCAGTGGCGGTCCGAGGGGAGGAGGCGGGAGGAGGGGGAGGGGAGGCGCGCCCCCTCCCCGAGAATGGGTCGCGAAATTTTTGAAAGTTACTTAGTTACTTATAAGGGTTATAAAATTGTCCAAGTGACTTGTTTATACCTGTAAACAATTGAAATAATTTTTAAAATTTTCTAAAAGTTCAAATTAGGCTTGTAAAATTTTTTTTCGAAATCCTGGGACCGCCACTGCTTCACAGATAACTCAACCTTTAGGTTCTTTAATGAACTCCATGAATGAGAGGATAGACAGCGAAGTTATACAGACTTTTGGGGAACCACCTTCATTCACCACAGCGACCGCCTCTGATTGGTCAGCATGTCGGCTACGATTGGCCAAGCTTTGAGCAGGAGGGTGTATGGGCAATCGGGCGCGTTGTTCGCTCTCTGATTCACATGCCATTAACCTGAAAACGGATGTGCTCTTTCACTTTGTGCATCTACCATGCAAAACATGATGACAAATGTTGGTAAAAGAAAGATCACACGCCTCAAACTATAGTGTTTCTCGGTTGGCTGTATGATAACTTGTCCCTTTCGTGCAAAGCAGCAAGCGGCAGGGGAGCGTCGCGAGCAAATGATTCAGAGAGCTCTGATTCTTGCGAAAACCTTTTCCATCCCTCTTCCTCCTATGATAATCGCTTCAAGCTGCTTACAGATATCCTATCAAGTGATTATCCACGAGAATGTTGTTAAGCATGGATTTCGCAATAAGTACCGAGACCAAGCGCACCCAGAGTTCATTCCTCGGTTAACAGCATGTGAATCACCTGCGCCGAGTGCGAAGTCGCTAGTCATCGTTCTTTCATGTCGGGTATGTGAATGAAGCCCAGGAAATCATTAAATTCACACCTTGCCCCGAGGCAGACGTAGGCATGCCACGTTGGCGCCTACGGCTCGGTAACGGCACACCTGAATCGATATGGAGGTGCGGGAGTAAGGAACAGGGATTAAATGCTTCGCTATTCCGCTTTTACGGCTCTCCAATTTTTCAACGACTCATCAAAAATTCTCTTCTTCAAACACGCAATAGAGTAGTTCAATTTTCCTCTCGGATTGTGTTAGGGCTATCCCAGCTTTGTGTCTAAACATCTTGTACATATGAATCCTTTGGCCTCGATTTCCTTTCTTGGATAAAACGAAAAATGAGCACATTTACATAAAACACTGTTCTTTCCCCAAATGAGAGTGTCCTGTCGACTGTAGGTCCTCCGCGTACACAACTGCTTTGGGTCCTAATGTGTTGAGATGCATGGTTTGTGGCGGATGTCCACTCGGCGGAATCCCGTCGGTGACATGGCGCTTCTACGCGTTTCCCAGGAACATGCACTTGCTTTGTATGGCCTTTTCATTCTCAATGGATTATTTCATAGGCCAAAGCTAAAGACAACTTTGGAAAAAACTCAGATTTTCACCAGATTTCATCAGTTTTAGGAAGATCCTACAGCTTTTGCTCGGAAAATATTCGTATAGTTTAGTCCATCCAGAGCGAATTGGGACTAATCAGCAGTATTGGGCTGACTAGTGAACCAGTAATCGAGCTAGTTGCAGACGCGTTTGCTTCGGGACCCGCTCAGTTTCCTGCTATCTGATGATTTTTGAGTGCACAGTGGAATTATGTCCAACAATCTCCATTATTTGAACGATGATTTTTTTCTCATTCTGTTACTTAGGAAATCTGGGTATAATGTTGTACGCGCATCTTGCTCACAACTTGATTTTCTGGTGAAGATCATAGGTGCTTTCCGTTCAGTCATATAAAAACGGGTGCTCATTTTTCAGTCTCTTCGTACGTAAACAAATAGTAAATCATGTGTTTGATAACCTTCATGACAAGCGTAAGGTTCTGTGTTCCTTTCGTCGTCTAATGTAGTTGTAGGTACATATCAAAGACTTTTCCTTTCATCAATACGGGTCTCAATCAATTTCTGATTATGTACGAGGTGAAAGCGTATATGATTGAGCTTATACACCTTTGCTATCTCAATGTCTACCACGGTATGCAAGCCGTATCAAAGGGACGGCGTCAATTAAGCTTCATTACACAAAAAAAGCCACCATTCTTCATTACTGTAGGATTACGGTAAGAACAGCATTGCATCGTTATTGTAGGAACTGTCACTTGAAAAATCCGAAAAACCTGAGAACTTGTGAACTAATCTCCATGTCTCTACACTGATTTCAAAAGTAAGTTTCTACTTTTTGAGGTGTCTTGGTGGACCAGCAAAATTGTGAAACCACCGTTCCAATATACTCGGCGTCATTTCCAAAAAGGAATCAAGTCATATTCTTGACTTCTTTCACATTTGATTTTAGCAGCTGTGAATGGAATATTTACAAAGTTTAATTTTTTGAAGTCTTTTTTGGAGAAACTTTGATGTCAGTGGCGATAGATCTTCCTGGAAACTTCCAAGTAAGCCTATGGCATTGACAGTTGGTTCGCCCCATTTGAGTCGTCGATAAAGTACGTAAGGGTCTGCAGACTTTGAGGGAAGACTCATTGGTAAGTCTAGATTTGCGAATTTTTACTTGACTTTTCTGTGCTAATTCTCAAGTAGCGGAATTATCTCTATTGTCCATTCATTCTCCCATTCATCTCGTGTTATCCGAGGAGCAATCACTCAACTTCCTCATAATTAAGCTGTCAGAACGTTTTCCGTGCTTTCCACCTTCACACAAGCCGAGTTTTTATCTTGTACTTTGCTCAATGCGATTACGGTAAGCGCTGTCTGCAGCCCCTTGTGATTTCCAATCTTTGCATGCACTTTTTTCATGCGTTCGGAGGTTCTTTGCGCGAACTTGTCACATGAAAGAATATAATCGGAAGTGTGCACAGCATAACAACCATACGAGACAGCCAATTGCTCAGGAAATATGACTCAGCTCGAAGTGGGGGTGGTGGTGGTGGAGGATAATCTTTGCCTTCACCCAGGCGTAAGGGTTCAGTACTGCTCTTCAACAGCTTTGCAGAGTTGGTCTTTCTGAATAGTTGGCTTCTATTGATATGTTATCTCAGATGTTTTAGTCTCAGAATTTTTAAACATCAACTCAATAATTTTGAGAATACTCTCTAGTAGGACCTTCGAAAGTCCATCTTGTTCAGTGTCTGGAAAAGTGATTTTTATCTGCGTTATTTTGTTGAATTCTCCGCAAAAAATGTAATGAAAAAGAAGTACAAATCTTTTTAAATGTGCTTAAGACAAGTAAGTATTCGTAGCAGTACTAAGTAGTCCTCCACAAATTTCACTTAACCAAATTTCGGGGACCAATTTTCGTCTTCTGCCAACAAGCCTTTGTATCAACAGAATCCCATTCAGTATAAAAAGTCCAAACATGGAGGGCATTGTCAGGTTTTTTCAAGAATTTGCTCTTGCATCCAAGGAAAAGTTTTTTTAACGGAACTTTGACTATTGTAAGTCAAACACAGTGGATTGTGATCATGTGTTTGTAATTCAAAATGGTATATATTGAAGAGCACGCATATCATGTTCCTTACAATTATGCCATTTTCAAGAATGCTATTTTTATTCTTAATGCCTACCTCGTATTCTATGAATATCTATGGGTAGATGACTATATGTCGCCGAAATTGTGAGAGTCCCGCGCCGACACTGCAGGAGATACTCAGCTTGTGCAAGTATATACTGAGTATGTATTTGCTGCAGATGTCAGGCGGGACCTCCCAGTTTGGGCAACATATAGTCTCCTGCCCATTTTTGTGAGAAAAGGCTATTCTTTTACACTTTTTTCATGAACAAGAATGGAAAACTCAAATTTCTACCGTTTCATTTTTTATCTCCGAAATTATCTTCTAATAAACAAAACGCAATTTCACCTTTCTTATATAATTCTTTACCCATCTGAGAAAAGGCAAACGACTAAAATATCTGTATTTTGATGGAACCTATGCATATAAAACTGCGCTGGTATAGAAGAAAGCTGACGAGTTGAGAGATCAGATTTGCTTCACATGATCTAGAATTTCCTTTACCTGTGCATTCTAATGCATTCGTACAACTTCACAATAAAAGCACTTCAGAAGGACGTTAGTTTTTCAGTTCTGAGATCAGCGGGGCTTTCCAGCTGCTTTTATGCAGATCTCAAAGCTGTTTTCATAGATTTCTTATGTTAGAAACCATAATGACTTTTTTGGAAATGTACAAGAAGTCCCACTGAAAACAGAAGACACTGGGATAGAGCTGATCTGAAACTCTTCTATATTTCCTGTCATAAACACAGTTTTTATACATAGATCTCAAGTAAATCTCTAACTCCTTAAAGCATTCGCGTTTTTGGGTAGTACAGACGCACAGGCATAAAAATATTAAGTCATCTAGAGCAACAGAGATTAAATGACGCTTGAAAGGTATTTGATGAGAAGATTATGTCTCTCTCAAAATACGATTTCCTCTTAGTGCCAACGCTCCAATAAATCAAAGCCTATCATGCAAGCACGGAATCTCTCATATATTTGCATCCTCATCAGATTTGGTGAATAATAAATTGCTAATTTCTTTTGCTGTCAAATGTGCAGAAGACTATAAAAAAGCATTCTGCTCAAATTCGTACGCTTTCAGATTTAGGAGATAAGCTTTATTGGCGCTATAAATCATAAGGCAAGAAGATTTTTGATGGTTCCTCGTAAATATCGAGTCATTTATCTGAAGATGGGACCAAGCAGATCATCATCATGTCTCTGGTTTGCATGCTCTTCAAATCAAGGTATTGAGGGAGAATTTTGAGAAAAAAAGAAGCCCTCAGCTGTAGAATTATCACAGCTGTTATTTGGTCCATCATAGCTTGTTGTCATGGTTACGATCATAGCAATTCTCTTTACTGTAGGGTCGTCAATGGAATCTTCGTGGCGTTTATTGGAATGTTCTGTGAATCTTTGTCGATTTTGATCTTTGAATGTTGGAGATTTCTCGGTAAAATATATAACCGTACTTTTTACAGACATGGGTGAATTAGACTCGAGCCTACGTCAACTAAACTGGCTCATCGCAAAAGGAGGAGAAGGTATCAATGAGGTGAGTAAAGTTCATCGTAAAGGAGGAGGCGGAAGAGAAGGATGTGTAGAAATATTTCGATTTTCGACAAGGGAATTATAACTGAATCTATTCAATTCATCGAAGTAGCAAATTTTTTAGCCGATTCCTGCCAAACCAGCCGCCAAAAACTCACCACGGGTCCGTGACGATGACAAGCCTCCGTTCTCGTATACGCAACTTATCCGAATGGCCATTGAGAACTCACCGGGTCAAAGGTAAAGAATGGAAAATGTTAGTGCATAAGGTACGATGTAAAAATAATGTGCATTTAGGTGCTCATTGAGTGGGATATACTCTTATATAGCAGATAATTTCAAGTACTTCAGAGAAAATCGAAATCCAAGCTGGAAGGTATTTTTTTTCTTTTTTAAAATTATTTTGGACAGACTACCGTAAGGCTAGAGCAATCGTAGTACTGTAATCTCAACTTCAAAGAGAGAAAGACGATGTGAAATTTTGTACTCTAAAAATTGTCTTTACAGGCTCTTTTTGGAAGTTAAAAAAGCGCTAGAGGCCAATCATATACAGTTGCATTACAAAAAAAAAAACTGCGGTTTGGCTTCTTTCAGGATCACTTGTAGCAGCATGCTTAGCTATACTTTGAAATCAAAACAGCTCATGCGTACAGAATAAATAAACAAAAGAAGTAGAAACGGAAAGCGAAAATGTTGAGCTATACGGTAGTTGGAAGCTGATAAAAAGGAGGCATAACAAGCCAAAACCTTTGAATCCCTATGCACATTTTTCATTTCTATTATTTTTATTTATCTCATCGTCAGGTACTGCTTATATGTTTTTGTTGTATTTGAAATGGTATCAAATGTTATGATTTTCCACAATTCCGGCTTATACTTCGTTCAAATTAACCGAAACGCTTCCCTCCAGGCCACTCAAGTCTTCTCCTTTTTTGCCCAAATTGGTAATCGGATGCACATCCCGATTATGCAAAAAGGGGAATTACGACCAAGTTTTGCGGTCCAGAATCCAAGTGGATCCGTTTGACGTGTGATTTTCGAAAGATCCGCTGGACGTATCCGCTCATGCTTTGTTATATTGGACCTACATGCTGGATACAGGTGTTGTGCAAAAATTGGGCTCAAGATGTTGGCTGGCAACCGTTCCACGAATTTCGTGACAGACAGACAGACTTACACACAAACACATGCAAACAACCCTTAGCCCGTTATTATATGAACTTTCATGCGAGTACACATTTTCAAGCGTTATTGAGTGCGAGCCAAACTGTAAACGCAGTTCAATCTTAAATGTGATCTTTTTGAAAACAAACCACTCGTCATCCCGCGTCAACCTATAACAAGAGTAATAAATTTCCCTATATACATACGTGAATCCGCTTTGGAAAGCAAGCTGGTAAACTTAGTTGATGTCAAGTTAACACATTGATTTCCAGTCTATGAACGAAAATCCCAAGCAGAGATTAGCTTTTTCAAAATCATTATCATCCTAACAGAATGAAAACGGCTCACAAATGTGAACGAGATGATCGTCTGTTGATTAGGGAAGAGGGGGTGGGGGAGGATGTTAGGAACAAGTGACAGTTTTATAAAGCGTAGCTGCCACCCGTGGAATCAAAGATTCGGTCCCTGCCTCAAACCAGTCGAAATCTTTACCCCTACAGGGCAGTAAGTTTCAGAGTTTGGAAGAAGTGAAGTACTGACTCAACTGGTAACAGGCTACTCTCAGTGACAGTCATTGCGAAGAAGTTCCTACAAAAGTGCATGTCAGATTCCCAGAATGGAACATTATGAATGCTCTTTTAGCTTAGCTAGGAAGTTGAAATGCTTCACTTCCAAGGCTGTTATGAGAAGGAAATCAGTGATCCCTTTTTTGGAATTCGCTCTTTCATACAGTCATCACTCAGCAGTCGAAACTCATTGCTTTTCAAGATTAATCTTTGCAGAAGAGGATAAAGAATTGCAATACATACTGTGAAGAGGAAACAGGAATGTTATTTTGAACGCCAATAAAATCACATTGAAAGTGCATTTCTAAATATGTTTGGTATGAAGGCAGGCAACAATTTTACTACATCTTTTTTTCAGAAAATATGCAAAAGATGTTTTTGTACTTATTTCGACAAAGGAGAAAGATCTAAACGATTTGAGGAGGAAAAATATTGCAGAAGAGGGAGTTAGCCTAACAAAAGAGTTCCCCATGAGAGGATACACCTGAGGCAGCGCCGCCCCCCCCCCCCCCCCGAGACGTCGCGAAATTTTTGGAAGTTACTTATATAAGTCATAAAAATGTGCAAAAGACTTATTTATACTTTTAGTAACTAAAATAATTTTCTAAATTTCTTAAAAATTCAATTTAGCTTTATAAAAAATTTTTTTCGGGGGCTTATGGGCCCGCGAAAATTTCGAGAAGCGTATCAAAAATTTTTTTTGGGTGAGTGGCTAACGCCACGCACCTTCATCAGAATATTTTTTTTTGTCGCGCCCCCCCCCCCCCCGAGCCGAAATTTTGGGTATGCCACTGACCTGAAGAGATGAAAAAATCTCACTCGGGAAAATCTCGTTTGTACATGATCATCTATCATTCATTCTATGACTATTAGACGCGAGACCGCATTGCGCACATTGTCTAAATAAGTCTAATCACAATGTCCGCAATGCGGTCTCACGTCTTCTAGTCATAGAATAGATGAATAGATACGTTGTCATACCACAAACCAAATGCTCTAAACTAAAAATTCTAACTCATAGTGCAAAAGGCACAGAAACCGTATGCGGGGGTAAAGATGGAGATGTGGGAACTGCTGCTGTGAAAGCACTCGAAGTGACCAAATAAGTGGCGGCCATTTTGACTGTGGTCGCTAGAGCGTCGTGTAACTTAGCATGCTCTATTTCGTAATGAAGATTCTGTTGTTGTGAAATAAGGGAACGTAGCTATAAACGAACGTTGACGTCAGTTGGTGAACACAAGGCGGAAAAATTATTTTGCTCCGCACAGCGAACTTTTCTTCTTTAGAACTCGGTGCGACATAATTTATCATTGAACAAGCAGTTTCGACGATTGGATAGAAAAGAAGGCGAGAAAGGTTTGGAGCTTTCATTTATCAACTTTTAGTAACTATTATGGAATTGTAGGTTCATTATGGGTTTGCGTCGATGCACCTGAGAAACGACCACGTTCACTGGAAGGTTCACCTCCTAGAATAAATCCTGCAATAGAGCGACTGTATATGGAAGGTACTGGAAGCAGTTTTCAGAAGTAATTGTTATCTCGTAAATGATAAATGTAAAAACAAAATTTTCTATTCAAAAGCCCCAACCAATTACAAACGCGCCGGTATGGTATTATTGATCGATGCTCGTCCAATCAAGCATGCCGTGATACGGTAAAAGTGTTGTTTCAGGCCGGCTAGCTGACATAGCAATAGTTCCATCGAGCAAACCTGTAGCCAGTAAATCTGTTAATGAATCGCAGTGTGGGCTGGAAAATAATAACAAGCAAGAACGTATATCTATGACTGAAGATGCGCATCTGGAGGTTTGTACTTTTTGGAGGCAAAGTCTGGTTTTCATTGATATGCGATTATAGGCTGACGAAGACTTGTCGGAATTGTCGTTGTTTGCCTCGCAAGATCTTTCAGCCTCTTTTAAAGCAGTTTATGATCAGATATTCCAGAATGATGGGGGATGTGATAGGAACAGAACCGTGAGCAAGTTTTTTTACAACTTTTTGGGCAGTATGTCCTGTCCTTTTTTGCTTTTTGGTAAGGCAGCGTTCAGAGTCGCCTATGTGCCCCTGTGCCAGCGTTCAGCGCCGTGCCGAAACTCACGTAGAGGCACCTAGTATTGATCAGTCGACACGGCGCTAGCACGGCGTTGGCACGGGAACTCTGGACACAGCCTGAGCATGTTCTGAGCTGATTTTAGTAATATCTTCTGTTTTTTGCAGGAGGAACAAATAGACTGGCTGAAGATTGGCATGGAAACTGCTGGGATAGATTACACTAGTGAAGAAGACATACGTAATATGGATACGGACAAATTTAATGGTAAGTCATTTCAGCCCCTTCGTACAAGTCAAAATCGAGCCGGAATGTTATCAAGCTTCATCCTTAAAGGAATTGTTAGAACTTTTGCTGACTGCTTCCGAAGTATAAAGGTGAAAGGGCGGGTTATGAATATGTACTTTATCGCTTAAAAAAATCTTGCAAGATGTCGCATTTCTAGTGGAAGTTGGGTGTCGTTTCCCTGGTCGCGAAATAGAAGTTTCTTCTCTCTTTTTCTTTACAGTAAAAACACGCGTTATGATGTAGCGTGAAATAGGACTTCTTTCTCGGGCTAAAGTATCTACCTTGATCTAGCCTTTTACTCACTACACACTATATGACATACGTACATTTAATCGATAATTATATTTTTGCAGACTACATGACCACTATGTTCCCCTACTGCACGTCATTTCGTGCACATGATGTAAACCACGGGTATCAGACAATGGCTACACTAAATCCCGAGCTGGAAGAAGAGTCTGAGGACGAATTTGATTGGAGTACCATTACATGAGCATTAACTTATTTGTAGAATCTGAGAGTTGTTTGATATTTATTTTGCAATCTCAATATAGTTTTCGTTCTTTATGATCTTGTCTGGCTATCCGTACGAAGTCGCGTATGCGACACCGTGTCGGCATAATTCTCGACTCTAAAATATTTCTTTTTGTAATTACTATTTGTGGTCAGAGCTTGTTTAGGAGACCAAGCTTCGAAGTCTCTCTTCCGTACGGATATTTTCTTAATTTTTTTTATTTGTTCTTATCCTATTTTGTACATGCCAATTTTTTGCATGTTATTTGTTTTCGAATGAGCCTAGATTCTGTTGTTGATCTGTGATGAATCTCGTCGCAAAATTTTTTTGCTAGTTTGGGAAGTTCCTGTTCGTTTTGTCAAGAATTCCTTGAGAAGATCATTATGACTAAGATTTGTGTCACGTATAAAGGCTAGTTCCGGATGAAGGCGGATGCATGAGGTAAGCTCATGCGAATGCGGCGCGCGAGCGGCAGTCGGCCTTGCGCTTCACCGATGGTGCTCTACCGCCGTTTTTGCATCTTTTACGCTCCAATGAAACCCACTGCATTCGTTATTCAAAGCCAAGTTCCTGTTTTCACATTTTAGTCGAGTTTATTTAGTAGAAACGGGTTGCGTTGCGACCCACCGCTGCACCGTTCGCAGTTTTGGGCGTTGCTGCGTTCGTAAAGTGAACAGTGCATACCCACCGTGATCAAATCTGCATTTAGCTCATGAGTAACATAGCCCGATCTTGTTTATCTCGCTGCAGGAAAATGCTTCTCCTTTATCACCATCTGCATGGTGGAAATAAAAACCTCATTCATAACTGTGTAAGATTCATTTGATCTTTATCATCACACGTATGCTGGATGTTCGCTCCAAGGAGGAAGGCCGCTAGTCCAGAGTGAGCAACAGCTTTCGAAGACTGCTTCTTGGACATTCGGTTGAAGCCATTCTCTTCAGCAAGAGGAGGAAGAGGAGAGGCAAAGGAAGAGTAACGATTGAAGAGCCAGAAACACCAACACCGAAGAAAAGCGGCAAAAAAACAAGAACAAGGCAAGATCGGTAAGTTACTGCAAGTTTAAGACGAAGCACAGAATTTTACACTGGCACACTACAATTACATAGTGTGTGTAACTTTAGGCCCCGGATAGACTTCACGCGATTTGATCGTCGCGACTCAATCGCCAACATTTCCATTCATTTTCATTTCACATTCAAAAATTTCGGGCTGGAAAAGTATCACAACCGAAATGCAAGTTGATCCGCATGGAATGATGTTGTAACAGTTGTCTCGTATTCAGTCGCGACGATCAAATCGCGTGAAGTCTGTCCGCGATCTTAGACCGATAATTTGCTCCATCTTTTGTACATTTAGAATGCGCTTACAACAAGTCACAGACATTTGAAGCAGTGCCGGATTGCGACTGAAATCGCATGAGTTATACCCGAGGGCATATGTGACACTGTAAATGGAGTCTTGGAACACGCACCGTGGTTCGCATCGCGGCATCGCTTTGCGAAAAATTCGCGCCGATCGTCTGACTGTTACTTTGCAATAATGAACTTGAAACATTTGTCTGGTTGGGTGAATCGCAAGGCGATGAAATCGCGTGGTATATATAGTCGACTGCACGAAATCGCCCGGGTCAGTGTAGGCTGAACGCACGCAGGTGTGTCTGCAACGCGGCTGCCGAGTACGGACGCTATGATGACTCAAGCGCGCGAATGCCAACGATAGCCCGCATGAAACGCGCTTGCGAGCGTCCAACCTAATCGATTCCGTGCAGCCAACTATATCTGGCCTCTGTAGAACGATATGGTCTGCAAAAATCTCTTTCTGTGGCGGCCTTGCGGACCCCCTTTTCAATTTGTAGGACGATGAAATAGCTGCATCGTTGTTGTGCAGTCCTTGTAGCAGTCGGCTAATGTTCTCCCTCAAGAGACCCACTCCATGTTGAATAGGGCTAACAGGAGGTCGTTAATACGATGCTGTCAAGGGTCCTCATAGTCGACTAATGTTAGGAAGATCCATGCAGCTGAATGCATCGCGAGATCCAGATTGTTGGGACTAGGCTTTATCTAGTTTTATGGTGTGTAAGCGAAATAATTCTCAAAATCGTAGCGCGCACATAACATGCATATTCAGAGTAGTTCCGAAGATCCTCCCGTTCGCCCTTCCAGAGGGGGATGGATTCTGAGGTTTGCTTTCGGTCTGGGGTTCCCTTGAAAGTAAAATGTTAGCTGCCCTGCGAAAATCTCGTATATATGGTACTTCTCGGCTGCGAAAGCTCCACAAAAGGTGATTTGATCCTCGGGACGATGAATGTCTTCATAGTGAATTGCGCTGCGTACCTTAACAAGGGAATCTGTGATATACATTCCATGATGAAGCAGCAGAATTGGGATCGGCGTTAGAGCGGAAAGAATGGTGTAGAAGTCTTTGAAATGGATTCCATCTTATGACGGGAAGTAGTAGGTTTCCTGTCTTCGTCCAGTAGTGATCCGCGCAGTAGCCATGCTTGAAAGGTTTTTCGGCACTCCTATTTCGTCTTCTATCGGCTGTTTCTTATATCTTAGCTTGTCTGTAGTTCGAGTCCAGGCTGCAGGACTGTTTTGCAGCTGGCGTTTGCTACAAGTCGCTCGAGATGAGTTGCACCTGCATTTCTCAATGCTGTTATTCTTTTGAGCAATATTCGGTGGTCCAAAAGATGGAAGTCATCGTAATGCACTCTCAGCAGGCACCCATTTTCCGGAGTGGCGTAGTCAAAAGCTGGATCTCTGATGGACTTCTCACAACTTGCTTTGAGCTCCTCCAGCTTGTGACCGTCACAAAAGAGTTCCTTTCTTCGCACTGGCAGATCATCTTTTCCAGCTTTCAAATGTAACCCCGCTTGAAGAAGGCGATGATTGGAGCACTGCAGAAGGATGCAACTCCTGAAACAGACAACTAATGATATGAGTAGAGTAACCTCCATCTTTGTTTTGTGAGGATTTGAACAATCTTCACGTAAGTCGCTCCGTTGGGCAATTCCATGTCCGCCAGCGATGTGAACAGAGCAACTAGAAGTCCTTTTCAAACTTGTGTTTTCATACCGCAATGTGTGACCATCACTCGCGAGTGTTTTGAGACGGGACCCACCGCGAACATAGTCTTAAAGTGGGCGAAGTCAAATCCGGGTTACGGTCACGGCACAGGCCCAAGGGGCTTGGGGACGGATAAGCCTCAAATAAATCGTTTGCGCTGCCGCTTGAGCAATGCGTTAGTTAGGACTCCCTAATCAGTTTCCAATCGACAACCCCATGTTCGCAGATTTGCCTAAACGCTGCCTTTGAGGTAATAATGTGCCGATGTATTCGGCACCCTCTTCCAATCTTATCAATCCCTCCTCACTACTCCTTTGTAGCCTTGAGTTCAGCAACTCGCGACCTCGAGTCATATTCTCCTATCGATATGCATTACCTTACTTTGCTCCGCCTATTAGGGGCAGCATTCTACCGCTAGCCGCATGAGGGTATGTTGATGTTCAACAAAGCTTATAAGCTTATGTGTACTGTAACACGTAGAAGCCACCATGCTCCAACTACCGGCTTTCCATGAGACTGGTCAGCCACCACATCTTACAGTTAGACTTTACCATAAGAGTGGTAAGTGATCACAGATAAGATTTCATGCGAATAGACAAGATGGACGATAGATGAGTGGACCAAAGGCCAACTCCTTCAACTCCAAGTTTCGTGGTGGGACGTTCTCCGGTTATGAGGGTTCCATTTCTTGGTCATACTTCGTTCCTGATTTCATAGCGATGACGCGGTGTTTATGCTGCAGCATCGAGAAGAGCGTGGAAATTGGCGTCTGTGGAGACTTTCCTGGCGTTGTAGGTGCACAACATCAGGCACTCTTCATAACAAGTCGTTCTTTTCTGAAAAGATGGATAAATATTTGTGAAAATTTATTGTTGCCAAGGGCACATGGTCTTCGTGGGCAGCACAAATAGCCCGACGTTTTTTCGTACCTCAAAAACAGGGATATCAGACCTTTCCCACTATCATATCATCACCTACAGTATCGAGCTATAGTCTGTTCTACTTCGTAAATCGCGAATTTGTAGGAGGGAGCGTACAATAGATGTAGATGCTAGTCTCGGAAAATCAGATCAGAAGAAATTGCAGGTACCGCTTGACTTGATCGTAGATAAGACAACTATAATGCTTAAAGGCACCGTCCACCCAAAGCGAAGTTGATGAGATTTCGGTGGCATACTAGTGTGGGCCCCCACACTAGGCAAACCCCCAAGTAGCGCCGCAAAATACTCTTTCCGAAGCGAGAAATCCGCTCCGGAAGGGACGTAACCGGAGGTGGTCACTCCGCCCACTTTGCGGGCGCGCTGATATACGCAGGGCGTCATTAGCAAACTAGTCATAGGCAATTGTGCAATCGATTAGGAGTATTGGGAAATATCTGCCCCAGTCTTGATCCAGGTTCCGCGTATTTAGCACATTCACACAGAAAGCAGTGAAAGCAAATGTTTTAGCACACAGAAATGCGTGATAGTTTATTGCGATGATCCATTAGTCATGTAGACGGCGTCAACGATTATTTTGACTACAAATAGTATTTCAATTTGATGTACATTGCAATGAAAAAACTCACGTCGCATGTTCATCTCGTTTTATTGAGCACAAGCGTCACCTATAACGAAAGATCGTGTTCATATCAAGAAAAACAGCTATGCCGGATGCTGATGATGGCTATAATCGAAAAAACAACTTTGTCGTAGATTTGGTCATGACTGAATAAAAAACGAACGGTTGAGGATACAAGATATTTTCGGCCCATCAGTCTGACTCCCACAGCCGTAAAAGTAATGGAGAAAGTTTTGCGTAACAGATTACTCTCATGGCTTGGAAAAATTAACGTGATCCCTATGAATCAACACGGTTTTATGGAAGGGTCATCTACCGCCACTAATCTTGTAGACTCAGTTTTTGATTGGAATTTTGCAGTTAATATTGGTAATTCCATTGATGTGATCTACGTTGATCTTTCCAAGGCATTTGATAGAGTTCATCATGGAAAGCTTTTGAACAGGCTGGAACAAATTGGTCTAAAAGGAAACATATTGAATTGGTTAAAGCCATATTTGCACAACAGAGGCATGAGCGTCAAGGTTGAACACCACTTTTGTGATCGACAACCCTGCACAAGTGGTGTTCCACAAGGAGCAGTCCTTTCTCCATTACTCTTTCTACTATACACTGCTGAACTTCCATCTATCTTGAGCACATCCATACATCTGACAATTCAGATGTATGCCGATGATGTAAAGATATATGGAAGTTATAGTAATGAAAATAAACTACAGGTTCGTTCAGCAATACGAGCGTCTGTTGGGAAAATGATGAACTGGGCTGCTCTCTCTGGTATACCTGTGAACCTGGAAAAAAGTTTTGTAATGCATTTTGGAGATGAAGACTTGCCAATTTATGAGATAAATGGAATCAAATTGAAAAACTGCTCCATTGCCAAGGACTTGGGTGTTTTTGTAGATTCCGAATTAAAATTTACTAATCATATTGAACATGCAGTCAACAAAGCATTTTCAGTGTTGTTTGCTATTTTTCGAAATGTCCATATTGAAAATCCTCTGATTCTCAAACGGCTTTATAATGCTTACGTATTACCTCATCTAGAATACTGCTCAGTTGTTTGGAGTCCTTTTCTCAAGAAAGACATACGAAAACTAGAGAAAGTTCAACAAACGTTTACTCGAATACTATATATGAGGTGCCGACGAAAGTTCAACTTTGTTGAAATGCCCACTTACGAGACTCGACTCAGGTCCTTGGCAATGAAGAGTTTAGAACATAGACGTGTATATCTAGATCTTGTCTTTGCTTTTCGACTCATTCGCAAAGAGCTTAGACTCAGTGCGAGTAAGCACTGGATTTTCAGACCAACTAGTAGAAATGGTGGGTTTAGCATTTATTATTCACGTATTTTAAGAAAACGTTTTCGCTTTGTGTTCAACAGTTTTTTTATAGAATTTTCGCTGGCTTCGTGCATTACCGTGTACCCCGCTGCAAGCTCCCACTGTAGCTGCTTTTAAACGCAGAATTAATGCACTTAATTTAATGCAAGTAAAATATTCTGAGATCACTTAATTTCCTCTGTTATAGTTGATTTGGATTTTGTTTTGAGTGTTTTGTGTTTACTAATATATGTGCAAGAGCTAGCTTCCCCAGAAATCAAACCACTTTGATTCTCTCCTTAACTTTATTTAGCCTCACTCATAGGCCTATCGTACAAACGCTTTTATACTTTGCTGCCTTTCTATCCATGGGAGCGATGTAAGAGAAAGCTCAAAGAGGTTAACCCGCCTGGGCACGCATGGATTAGCCCATTCGCTCAGGTGTCTTTCTCTTTTTTCGCTTGAGAGTGATAACTCAAAGGTTATTCACACCATGGCTGCAGCATGACAACCATCCTTCCTCATCATACTTACATCTATAATCCTATTGAGTGTAGGCTACAAATTTTCTTTTTACTATATAGTTTGATCTTTCGAGAAATTAGCTCTTTATTTCTCATCATTTATTTTAAAGCGAGACAAACTTATTGAACTATCACGTTCGTTTGGCGCATCATTGTATGCAGAGATAAAATAAAATGAATAAAATAAGTACACGAAATAACACTAGAAAACTCCGATTAGTCGCTTACGACGAGGCAGCGTACTGCGCTGTGCGTGTAGTCTCTCCAACGGTGCGCCTGCAAAGTGGGCGGAGTGACCACCTCCGGTTACGTCCCTTCCGGAGCGGATTTCTCGCTTCGGAAGGAGTATTTTGCCTCGCTACTTGGGGGTTTGCCTAGTGTGGGGGCCCACAGTAGTATGCCACCGAAATCTCATCAACCTCGCTTTGGGTGGACGGTGCCTTTAATATTTTGATAAAAATAAGGGCACTATTTCTTTTAGGTTAAAGTATTCGTAGAAGAGACTTTGAGGAAAGGAGTACAAGGGCTAGTAGCAGAATTTAAAGGGATGCGGCGAGTGAACGATTTTACAGTGATGACGGCATTTGTATCGCAGAATCCGCTAGGTCGGAATAGGTACAAGGTGAGCGTTTCTCTATCTCTTTTCAAGGCTATGATCAGCTGCAAGTCGCAATTGTTGTACATGTTCATTGATCACTGAACCGTAAGCGGTGCAAAAAGCCTCTCTACATGTTGCTTCCTCAACATAGTGCCGAAAGTTTTTTGCTCTACACTCGCGGAGCTTCGCTAAGCAGTCGAGTAGGCTCATCGATTAGAAAGAAGCAAGCGAGATTCTCGCGCTGCACTGCGCAGCGGCACGCAACAGGGACACTGCGAATGAAATAGACTATGCATCGCATCCCGCTTCAACTGCAACCACCTACGCTCACTGCAGCAATGTAAAATTGTCGTTTTACCTGACCTCTTGATCATACTGGACTACGAAGTAAAGGCGACTAAAATCGAAGCATTGCAGGATGTTGGCTGCTTAGACAATTGTCGGGTGGTCCTTAGAATAGGTGAGGTGCCATACATCCATGCAAACTATGTTTCCACACCGGCGAGTCCTAGACGATTTATCTGTACTCAGGTATATCCAGTCAGGACCTAATGGTCTTGTTGATGCTATACAGTTTTTAGGCACCATTACCCAAGACATGTCCCGATTTTTGGAATATGGTTGTGCAAGAGAAGAGCACTGCTATTATAATGTTGTGTAACTTCATCGAACAGGTAATTCGCGAGTGAATTTACATCCCGGAAAAAATTCGTCATTTAGAACGCAAAGAAATGTGCGGAATACTTTCCGGTTCAACCAGGACAACCATTGTCGTTTGATGGTGATGTGCATGTTGTCTACAGAGATCAAGAAATGGTAAGACAGCGTCCGGAGTTGCATGTGTGCCAGCGCCGTGTCTGCACTGTGCCAGGGCCGTGCCTACATCGTGTCGGGACCCGAATGGGCACGCCCTGCATTAATCTATGGACATTTCGGAACAGCGCTGGCACGAGAAACTCTGGAGGCAGACTAAAGTGTACGAGCTGCCTGCAAACACTCTGTTACAGCTCACCTTCCCCTTCGAAACCAAGGTACGAGTACGCGTTACCCGTCTGGACGTAAGCGTCCCTGGTCAACCGATTCACACTTGCTCACATTATCATTGGTTGGATTGGCCAGATCGAGGAGTTCCTGAGGCTGATTTGGCACCGATTTTCCTACTCAATAAGGTTCAAGATACTGTGTGAGTTCGAACCTACAGTTAAAGCACTTACAGCCTGTCTCAATCGTGTTGTCCCCTTCCAAGGGAAGCGCGTCGAGTGGCGGTGGCAGGTGTCTGATTTGTGCAGTCAAGTAGGCCTTATCGATCCCAGTTCGGCGCACGATCGCGCGCTGCGGATGCATAGCCGCGTGCAAAAGGGACAGCTCAGTTGAGATAGAGTATAAATCTATGTGACTGAGGCATTTCAGCACTCCAATAATAGTTCATTGTTCGGCCGGGATTGGAAGAACAGGATCCATAGTGCTTATACAACATGCACTTGAACTGTTGCAACGGAATCAACCATTATTGGAGATATGTACATATTTGATAGAACTGCGTAAACAACGAAATAATAGTATACAAGTGAGTTTCTCACATGTGTAGATGATTTTGCACCCTTACCGTATGCTACCGTAACTGCGTCCGTCGTTTGGCATGAGCAGGTACATCAAGAAAGCAAACAACATGATTCAAGGAGCGAAGCAGGAGAGCAGGATAATGCATCACCGTCCTACTCTTACCCACATTGCGCAAGGTTACGGTAGCCTACCGCATAGATGCAAAAGGGCCACATCACCACCAACACTTAGTCATTTTTTTCAGACAGAACATCAGTATCTATACATTCATCAAGTTCTATTACTGTATCTAAGGACGCATAAATACCTAGATGATAGTGTCACGGCATACCTGGATAACTTTACCAGGGATTACTATAAGGCAACAAAAGGATTTTAGAAGAAGATTAAAAGTGTTTACTAGCCAATTAGAGTCTAGTACAAAGAGTTCATATGGTAACCAAGAAACATTTAAGCGCTTCAATGTTTTCTTTCGCTTTTTAATGTCATTAAACGACGAGTCTTCAATATTTGCACTGATTACATAATATTGAGAATAAAGATTTTGATGTAATCTGTATGCTTTGGTATGGTGATTCTAATCATTGGTTTAGACTGCTCATGACTTATCGATTGACTAAGTGACACTTTATTCAAATTCTTATGCAGTTGACAAATCAACCATCTATGCAAGCATTTTTTTAGCGCCGAATTCGCTGAAAAATAGTATTTTGATCTGTATTGACTAGTGCCAAACGAGTTCCTAATCTTACACAAAGGCTAAGTACCGACCAGTTCTGCTGAGTCGCGTGGATCTGTTTCACACCCGATTATTTGAAGGAATTGTGTTGCATCGACTCGTCCTCTGCATGGTGTTACCTGCAGTGCTGCAGAGTGGCGCAGTGGTATAAGGTGCCACTACGTCCACTTCAGGCTAGAGTTCGATCCCCGCCAGGGCCAGTCAAACTCTTTACTCACCGAGGAGGAAACTTGGTACCAGAGTGATTGGGAATAAAGTGTTTGCACGTATTTATTAGCCTTTTCGACTATGAAGTAGAATGTTCGGCGCATACTGAGGGTATTGAAAGTAGCGATTCTATTACCTTTTTAGAGTAGTAAATCCTTTTTCAGGACCATAATACGTGTGGGGGGGGGGACAACTTATTTTATGTAGTCTTTTTAGGGCACAAACCAACGATATTGGAAATCAATTATGGGTGATTGTCGGACGAAGAGAAAGATGTGAGCACAGAACCCGTTTCGCTGAGTTATCCGATCACAATTCACATAAAAGGAGAGCGGACTTCTATGCATTTCATATTCTTCATATCACACTTTTGCAAGTAATGATCTCTCAAAAATGTTCGCGGTTGTTTGATAGTGTTCATGCTACTGTACAACAAAATTCCTGTTTAACACTAGATCACAAACTACTGATGCAATATTTCCATCGTTGTATCATTTACTGATGGCAGCAAAGATGAGCAGAAGACTTTTTGAGTGTGGTATTTTTCTGGCAACTTGCTTGGTATCTTTAACTCATTTATCACTCTGATTTTGCGGAAGTAAACACATAAAGATTTATGAACTTTAGCAAATCAAGAGTGGAAATGACTCAAATTTGGGTTCGTCCGATCAGACATTCACGAAAATTTTGCACATGGGATCCACTTCATCACGTTGAAGGCTGTGGCACTTTCCAGAATAGTTGATTGATGCAGTCTTTCGTTTGTACGCCAGCGGCGCCATACAAATAGCACACCTGAAATGTACGTGTGTCGTAAGTTCGGTATACTGACACTTTGGTGGAATCATTACAGTTCGGGAGTCCAAGCCGAATTTGCTATCAAATCAGCTTTGTTAAAGGAAGTTATGGCTTATTTTTTCCTCTGTAAGGCACGACGGAAAGAAGTACAAATGCACTTTCTGCAAGCACTGTAACTCCGATTTTGGGGGCAAGCGCTTCATGATTTACCGCAAATCACTCAGGGACGCGATCTGCGCCATTGCTATTAGGTTGCTCGGAAAATCACATTGGATTTCAGTGCTAAATTTGGTAGTTCTCAAAAACTAGCGTCCATGAATGCTTAAAAAATGGTTGTACTTCTAAATTCTAGGATAGAATCACCTACTTGGGAAAAGCTCAGCATTATTTTAGCAGAAGCAGGTCCAATTTCGTTTCGCAATCTCTAGTCGCAGAATAACCATAAATTTCTGAAAGTGTATGCGCGATCCTGTCGGAGATCTCTAAGCGGTAATACAAATTTTTGATGTTTCGAGCAGTGCCTTTAAGATTTGGCTTCAAATTTTAATGTAAATTAGACGTGGTGCTAGCCCTTGAACTTCATCGATGTGAATTTGAGCTTTGGTGTGGCCGATATGAATGAGCAGGCGCTGCAGTTTGGCTTTAAATTCTTTGGGGAACCCATGCGAAATTATATTGTGCCAAGCTCCCAGGTAGATCCTCTAAATTATTTAAGGAATTTGTTGCATAAATGATACATATGTAATGCAATGAACGACTACGCGTGAAGTTGCGATTGCAACAGATAACTCTTTGATAATTCTGACTTTTCTGGCTTTGCCTCTGTTCACGATAAATGGTGGAAATGCGGTTGAGCCCTACCGTTTGATCCGCTTTCATGTACGCAAGTGCAGTGCAGTTCTTATACTCATAGCACTTGCCAAAGCATTCATTCTCATCTTTAATGGACTCTGTACGATATCTATCGCCATGGATTATATCCACTCTGTCAAAAACGCACGTTGAAAATAATTTTGCCTGAAAGACTAAGTCTAGTCTGAGTTCTTCATCAGGCATAGGAAGATAAAAACTCTATTTGTAGGAAAAGTAGAGAGAGGACCAGCCAGATCATGCCGTAGAAGATCGGACTCTAGATCTGAAGACCTTTAGTGCTTCATTATATTAGGTTGTGTAATAAGTTCTGTCCCATTTTTTCTTTCGATTTTTTCTCAATACTTTGCGCGATGTTCTGTAAATTGTTTATATGCATTTGAAAGCTCTAAGTCTTCTTCACTAAAACTTTCATTTCGGTTTTCTACATCAGATGACTTGCAAAAGTTTAACAGCTTCAAATTTGGAAAATCAAACAAGGAAAAGTCCATTTTCAAAAACTACGTTACGTCGCCTTCCTAATTAATCAGAACTAGTTGGCAAACCCGGCTCTGCCCGAGCCTGTCAATAATATATTTGTAATCAGCATGCTCGATTACCCCCCCCCCCCCCCTGTGCCAACTCCCAGCCCTGTAGCTCAAATTTTGCAAAAAATCGATAAAATCGATATCGATCAATAACGAAAAGTAGCCTATGACACGCTCCCTGCCCCGAAGTATATGATATGTGTGCCAAGTCTGGTCCAAATCGGTTCAGAAATAAAAATTTCTTTTCCGCACATACGTACAGACATACAGACATACAGACAGACATTCAGCTTTATATATAAGATTATACGAATAAGCTCGAAGAATTTGCTACATGTAAGCAAAGAATGCTCTAGCTTCTATTGCGCTTCAGGAGTGCTGAATCTTTTGAAAAAACATTTTTGTAGACTTTAGAAAAGTCTTCTTTCTAACGCCTTTTCAACGTTGGTGTTGGGCATCATCTGAAGGCACCCTGAGGGAAGGCGGTAGGCGGATCATCCAGAAGAGACAGAAGGGATGGTTTGTGGGTTCAAAATTATCGAATTCATAGGTTGAATACTAAAAATTCGAATTTTGGGAGCCGCACAGCTTGGGCATGCGAGACGGCAAACATCGCCGTGACAAAGTCTTTCCTTTCCGACTTTTGAAAAAATGTCATTAAATAGCCGGTGGAAGGATGGGAACATGCGCAAACAGTGATAGAATAATTATATAAAAGTCTAACAGATTGTTTTGGTTGTTGTCAAGCTATTTCAGTAAGTTTTTACCATTGAAAATCCAGAAAAATTTGGAGGAAAAAAGATGTCGAAAATTGATTTTTCAGCTGTTTGGATTTTTTATTTCGAAGATAAAAGTCTTTTTCATTTTCCTTCTATGTTGGGGAGTGATGGATATGAGCCTGCAGAGCAGACTTAGAGCTTTAAAAAGCATATACACTTTATCTCAAATATAGGCAATGTTATCAAGAAAAAACTAAAACAAAAAATAGGAGAGAACTTATTACACGACCTAATATGTCGTGACACCATGGTTACCGAAAGCTACGGCAAAACAGTTTGTTTCTAGGAGGCTTATTTGGCACATAAAATCTCAAATGGCTCCCTGTAACAAAATCTTCGAGCAATACAGCGCTCTACCCCATTTGATTTTGCAATGGGCTCTACAACGATGTTAATTTGGAAACAAACATTGTGCAGGAATAGTAAGATGAAACGATAGGCTTTATGACCACAGCAATTTCGACTAAAGAAAAGAGTTTCATTCAATGCATTCTTCTCACAAAGAGGCAATAAAGTTGGGTGGACATTAGTATGAAAGTTTTCGCTTCAATCACGGTGGTAGTCTTCTGAAGGGATTCGCAATTATCTAGAACTAGCTGGCTTACCCGGCTCCGCCGTATCCGGACCAAACTTGGCACACATACACTTCGGGCCCCGGCGGGTGTCACAGTCCACTTTCCGTTATCGATCGATGTCGATTTTACCGATTTTTATCGACTTTTTTGCAGAGTTCACCTACAGGGCTAGGAGTTGGCACAGGGGGGGAAGTGAGCATGGGGATTCCGAATACAATATTAGTTTTCAGAATTATCGATTACTTTTATTGGTTTTATCGATTTTTTGTAAATTTTGACATGCGAGGCTGGGATTTTGCACAGGGGGTAATCGAGCATGCTGATTACGAACACAATATTAGTTTTCAGGATCGTCCATTACTTTTATCGATTTTATCGATTTTTTTGTAAAGTTTGACCTGCGGGGCTGGGAGTTTGCACAGGGGGTAATCGAGCATGCTGATTACGAACACAATATTAGTTTTCAAGATCGTCCATTACTTTTATCGATTTTATCGATTTTTTGAAAATTTGAGCTAGGGGCTGGAATTTGGCACAGGGGTGTAATCGAGCATGCTGATCACCCCCCTTGGGGATGATCAGCATGCTCGATTACCCCCCTGTGCCAACTCCCAGCCTCCTAGCTCAAACTTTGCAAAAAAATCGATAAAATCGATAAAAGTAATCGATAATCCCGAAAACCAATATTGTATTCGGAATTCCCATGCTCGATTACCCCCCTGTGCGAACTCCCAGCCCCGTAGCTCAAACTTTGCAAAAAAATCGATAAAATCGATAAAAGTAATCGATAATCCCGAAAACCAATATTGTATTCGGAATCCCCATGCTCGATTACCCCCCTGTGCGAACTCCCAGCCCCGTAGCTCAAACTTTGCAAAAAAATCGATAAAATCGATAAAAGTAATCGATAATCCTGAAAACCAATATTGTATTCGGAATCCCCATGCTCGATTACCCCCCTGTGCCAACTCCCAGCCCCGTAGGTGAACTCAGCAAAAAAATCGATAAAAATCGATAAAATCGATATCGATCGATAACGAAAAGTAGCCTATGACACCCGCCCGGCCCCGAAGGGTATGTGTGCCAAGTTTGGTCCGGATCGGTTAAGAAATAAAATTTTCTATTCGGAACATACGTACATACATACAGACATACAGACATACATACAGACATACATACAGACAAACAGACATTCAGCTTTATATATAAGATAGTCACTCCACGATTGATTACGGTCATCCAGAGTATGTAGTAGAAGCAACGGATTACAAAGTTCATGACACGATCGATGCAGTATTTATTCCTCTTCCCATTTGCGATCTAATCACTGTTTTTCATTTATTTATTTATTTATAGAATCCACATAGAGTGCACCAAAACAAAAAAGTATAACACAAGATAACGATGCGGCTGTTCCCTTTCTGGATTGAAAATGTCGTTCTCCTTCCTCAGAAGGCGTGCGTTTCCTGTCGAGATCCTGTTTCCTTACCTGGACGCAGGCGTTGTAGTGGTAATTATTACCGGGGCTCGGCTGATCAGCTTAACCCAGGGCGGACGAATCCGCTAGGGACCCCGGGCGAGCAGAAAGGGAGGACCTCAAAACAGACGACTTGCCAACTTTCGTGTTCCTCGAACGGCTTTCCATGCGAAGAGAGCAGTTTGCTTTACTCAAAATAGGTGCAGGCTGTTTACATAAACGCGAAATTGAACAAAACTCAATTCAAAAAAAAACGCAAAAGTGTGCCAAAAGTTCGTCAAATTATCCAGTTGACGTGTAGAGAAAAATTAATGGACATAGGATGAGCTATTCAAGAGACATCATCATTCTTAAAACTTGCAAAACGTCTATAGAGGCCAGCTTCCTGCAAAATTGAGCAGAATTAGCGCAGGAAGTTACTTCTGTTGGTAGAAGACTCAACCATCGAGCCGTACGGCATACGAAAGAATTAAAAGCAACGAATATACTTGTTTTTCTCAAACTATGGTATCCCAGAGAAAACCCTGCGGTTCGACTGCGACAAGGCCTGAAGATCCAGCAATTACTAGGTCTCAACCTTGTTTCCAATAGTAGAATTTTGAAACAAACCAAGTCGTTGCATATCCTTCTATATTTTGGGCTACGTAACCCTAAGCCGATAGCCTCAAAATTGATAGGATGGTAACGAGTCAGGATAATCGGGTTTGGGATAACATCTGTAGAAAACAACTCTGGTAAAATTTTTTTGCACCTTCTCTAAGCTTGCAATGTTCGTTTTTGATTCCACACTGGTGAAACATATTCTAACAGCGGTAAAACATAAGTTTTGTATAACCTTACTAGAAGCAAAGCGTCATTACAGCGAATACTTCGAAAAATCACGTAAGGGACAGACAGCGTTTTTCTGGAAATTGACTCATAGTGAAGAAAAAGTTCTAGTTTCTCGTCAACGAAAATGCCTAGGTCCTTAGTGACATTGCACCGCTCCAACTCCACCCCACATATAAGTACATAGTACCCCTACATATAAGTACGATAGGGATGACTACCAAGATTTTTAACGAAAATTTTATTGACTTAGATGTCTAAAAGAAGATTGCAGGAGAACCATGTGTATGTTGATGTTGTTACAAGAAGAAGAAACTATGTACAGGTGCGGTTAAAGACATGACGGCTCCAAACAGCTTAGATACTCACAGATTTAATGTAGTTACCTTATTGTCCACTAATACTCTTATCATTGTACAAGAGATCAGTATCAAAAGTAAATGAACATAAATTCTTCCGTAAAAGGCTGTATCTATTTCTGAATGTTTTAATACAGTGCACTTCTTAGGGACGACAGCATCCTATCTTACTACTTAAAGTCTTGTATGCTTCTTTACTAAATCATATATAAAACTAACGTCATTTACACATTTTTACAGACTCTTAAAACCAACAAATGATTCTTCTTTCCGTCATGAAAGGCCGTTCAGCTGTTTTGGATAAATGGTTTCCATGTTTTTCATACATGTTCTTTGGCAGCGTTGCAAGGTTGGGTACCTATTAGCATTGCCATTACAACCGGTGAAGATGAACGGTACACATTGCTGTGTAGCTCGGTCGAACGTATATCTCAAAAAACATATTTCAATTTGCAAGATAGAATGATACCATAAACTCTGAATTGAGAGCGAAGATGGAAAGAAAAACGATGATTTTGTTCAAAAAAATATTGCTGGTCAACAAATCAATATGCCCGATGTAGAAAGTTAAGAAAAGAATATTCGGTTTTGTTTAGTAATTCAAAGTGGGAAACAAACAAACCTGAGCAGTGCTTCTTGGCAGTTTCCTTTTTCGACCGCCCAAAAACATCTCATTTTGATAGAGGAAGCTACAAATATTCGATAGTTAATTTAGTCGAACTTATACACAGAGGCATGACTTATCATGACTTACCTGAACCCAACAAAGTCACTAGTAAAATAAGCATTTTCATGGTAGAGCTAGAGGACCAGTAGCAATAGTTCCGACATGGCTTGACCTTTCCTTTTCTATGTTTTGTTTTCGAGGACAAATTGTGTAAGAAGGACATCGTCTAGAAATCGTGCGCTAGTTCAAAAAGATCACTCGCACTGCACTTTGCTGATAAGAGAACTTCCGCATTGACAGGAAGTAACTTTTTTAAGCCAAATTTTGAATCTAATGTAACCTTGCATACTAAACGTCTTGAGGTGCGGTAAAAAAGACTTTGAGCAGGAACTTTTATAGAACAACACATTCCGAGAATAGAAAAGCTGATTTTTTGAACGGCCAGATTGAGAACATTGAAAATGCACATTTTTTGTTTCCATGCAGAATCTTTGAGCGTTACCTAATGTAGAGGTGAGGAAGCGAAAAACGCGCAAGGAGGAGTGGAGAAATCTAGAATGACTATAGAACGTAGGCGTTAGATTGTTGACGTCAAGAATTGCTCAAAGCTAGAGATGAATTTATTGAACTTGATGTTCACAATCGCAATAATTATACATGTTGTACAAGACAATAATAAGTAAATAGCATGCAAATGAATCAAAAAATTGAAAACAAATATAAATAAATACATCATGAAGACGACGACTCCCGTAGATGCTTGTGTCACTGGATACAACTCACAAATGGTAGGCTGTACGCAGACAATACAATACGCTCATAGATTGTCAAAAAGGTACCGAAATTACGAAGTTTACCATCTGCGTCGCCTCGTCATATATATCTCGGTTCACAGAGAATTCTGAATCCAATTGCACTTTTCGGCTCAGCCCGGCGAGGCGATATGATAAGACGAGCTCACTTGGGATTTTTATCTCCTGTAGGTTACTCAATATGCACTGATTAAGCACACTAGATAACCTACAGTAGGCAAAAATCTAAACTAGCAACGCAGTTATCGTTTTCGTACGGCCACTTCCACATATCAGAAGATGCGCCTGAGCTGACTCGAACGTGCCCCAGGTTTCAGACTTCCTACCTTGAACCTAGTACGGCGATGCGACGCGGATTTCGGTGAACTTCAGTGGACTGACCTTTGTAACAAATCATGAGCGTATTGTGCAGAATCCGCAGTCACAGCGAAACTTTCTTGGGTCATAAGATATGAAAAAGTAGATAGAGGTTCGAAACTCGCTAGAGGGTGGTTCTATTTCGATAATGTATTAAGAGTAATCCAAAATACTTGATTTTAGCTCTATTCGGAATGCAACGAACCAATCTTATCTTATATATAAAGCTGAATGCCTGTTTGTAAGTCTATCTGTATGTCTGTATGTCTGTGCTATGTTCCAAACAGGGATTTTATTTCTGAACCGATCCGGACCAAAGCTGGCACACATACACTTCGGACGGGCGTCGTAGATTACTTTTCGTCATCGATCGATATCGATTTTACCGGTTTTTTTGCAGAGTGTGAGCTTTGTGCCTGGGAGTTGGCATAGGGGGATAATCAAGCATGCTGATTAACGAAAATATTATTGACAGAACCGGACGGAGCCGGGTTTGCCAGCTAGTTGTATATAATTATGTTACTGAGACATCGGTATCTTCCAGCATTGGATTCTATTGTAGTAGTTCTTTTGGATATCTGAACAGATTACGTCATTGTCGTCTTCAACGGTGTCCCCTGGAACGCTGCCAAGGTTCTGGTCGCCGCCTTGCTTGAAAATCGTGGTCTAAAACGTGATAGTTATTAATGGACCTGTTCATAATTGTAAAGGAATAAGGTTTTTTGCTAGGATTACATTTGTGATAGTACAGATTTTATTTGATAAAAGCGGCAGGAAAAAAGGAAAAGAAGAATTTTATCGGAAATGGGAAACGGCACACGAAAGAGGGAGCACCAGTCAGCTAAAAAAATTATTTGCAAAACTATTAATTACGTATTTCTTGAATTATTATGGTCTATTGGTACTTCCAATACTTCAAGGTTCAACTTTTCCGTGCTTCTCCGAAACATAAATTATTTTGACTCTGAACTTACCTGCATGACTTCGGTGATGTCTACCCTCACGTACAGCTAAAACATTGTGTGGAATACCTAAAACAACAAAGAATATCATGTCCAGGCTTTCACTTTTGAGTAATAAAGAAAACTTACCGTGAAAGAAATCACCCTTCTCTACGCTCGAAAAACGCGAATGCTCCCATGGTTTTTTAGCTAAATGGGAGGCTGTCTATTGATACATTTAGCAAGATGTGTTTACCTTCGATCAAACATGTGCAGAAAATTACGAAGGCCACAATCGCTAACATTATTCTCATGGGTAATCCAATAGTATGAGAAGATTGTCTTGAAAAAGTAAACTATTGAAAGCGAAATGACAGATGCAGCCATATTAAGATTACAACGAACAGATAGTCATCAATAAACAATTTACTAAGATAGTTACTAGTGTGTAATTAGGTCATATGGTGTTCGCTGAACATCATTTGATATGATCAGTGAGAGAGAAAAACGCAGAACTTACCAAAGTGAATGTAGCAAGACTTACAATTATAATTCTATCAATGCCCAAATGCATTAGATTGGCTGCTAAATAATTTTTGAAGCCTATTTTCCTATGAAGAAAAACTCTCAAAGAACTGGACTATCATATTTTTATTGTGTGCAAATGTGAGGAAATTTCGCTTTTTTGATCAAAGAATTTCAAGAGGACGGGTCAAACCTTCTATTTTTATGCGCTAGGGAAAATTTGTGCCTATCCAAATAAAAAAAAGGAACTCATCTTCACATTTATCACAGCATGAATACGAAGCTTAAAATATCAAAGAACTGAGCTTTTGGAAATGTAATTATTTTGCAATAAGCTGTCCTTTACTCAATTTGTCCTCTACAGTGTGAAAAACTTTGAGCAGTTAATATGTATAGTAGAAGCTTGGAACTACTTCTCCTAAAAATATTGGTAAACAAGGAAAAGTTTTGTTGAAATTTGCATAACGAAATCAGTTTCTAGCCAACCTTATAGAAACTGATCCAACAAGATTAAGGAGTGGTAAGAAAATGAGATGCAGAGATTGTGGATGCACGGAGAGCATAACAGGCAAGCTTTTGTCACATCTTCTACTATTTATACTAAGCGAATAGCTCACAAGTTGTATACTTATTACAACGTGGTAAGATATTTGATGCAACGATTTGTGCAAAATAAAGGACATTTCAAGAATATTCACTTCTGCAAACGATTTATGTGAATTGTGTGTACGAGTTCTTCTTTGGTCAATAGGAAGCGAGAATCAGCATCATGTGAAATAAACAGTATCAAAAAATTGAAGAGAATTAAGAGAGGAACCAAAATTCTGCTCGCTGAGAATAACTATCGGCTGCTAAGTAACCTTAAAAATGTATTGAGATTAGTGATGACATGTTGCGAAAGAAAGAACCAAGGTCGATGGTCAAACACCACCGCTACCGTCTATCAATAGGCACATTAATCAAGGTTCGATATATGGTGACGTATGATGTCTTTGAAGATTACTCAGCATAGAACTCTCAGTAAAGTCACTGGAGGATAAGGAAAGTGCTCGTTTCAAAATGACATGTAACAGACATTTTTAGGTTAGAAACTCCAGAAATGAACATATCTGCAACCTCAAAGTAAGGTTGGTACTAATAGAGAGGATGAGTTCTGAGTTGACCAGCTTCAGAATTAAAAGCAGTGTCCAGGCAAATCTGGGCGCATGGCGCTTTTTCGCCTAGAAACTGATGAGGGGTCCTAAGTATGGTACTGCCCAAGGAGCCGCGCAAATTGTTCATTCATGGCTGAGAAATCCGTCCCCGAAACCCCGCGACTGCGCCATGACCATAACCCGAAGACGACTTCGCTCACTCTAACGCTACGTTCGCGCTGGGACCCATCCTAAGTGCTACGGTCACGGCGCAGCCGCGGAGTGTTTCGGATGGATTTCTCAGCCAATGAATCATTTGCGCTGGGGCTTGGGCGGTGCCTTAGCTAGAACATCCTCATCAGTTTCCAAAAAACCCCATATGCCCAGATTTGCCTGGACACTGCCTCTAAGCAGTGTCCAGGCAAATCTGGGGTATCCTAAAAAGTGCCAATTGTTTGATCGTTAATAACTCTCTTTTTTCAATGTTTTCCGCCAAGCTTTAGGTACCACTCTGTAAAGCGAGATCAAACTTAGATTACAGCATAAATTAAATCCTCGATCGCTATTCATTACTGTAAATTACGGTAGAAACTTCGCGGAAGATTCAGCCATTGAAAGCTATGTTTTGCCGGGGGAAGGGAATCAAACAAATCAAAGTTTTCACATTGGAAATCAAAGTTGCTAATCCTAAATGTAAAATAATCACATTACTGTTATGCCTTCTTCCATAAGTTCCCAGCTATACCGCAACAACTGTTTTTCCAATGCTCAAAAACGTGATTACACCATTGAAAAACTCAAAAAACTCGCAAATGTTGTGTAGTGAAATCAGCCCGCCGGAAACCGGGGAAAAAATGTCATATAGCCTATTTTACGATGGTTCTGCATGCTGGAACACACTACCGTAATCGTACGGTAACGGGTATCGATCGATGACGCGCTCCTTGTGATTCTTATATAAAGCAAGCTCTACTGAACGGTGCCCAAAGATCGGCGAGAGATTAAAGCAAGAAAGTTATAGGTTGGTGCAAGTATAATGTTCGTTTTGCGAGTTCTCGCTTTGACGTACTATAACTTTTAAAAAATCTACGTTTCTTAATGCATAAAAGATCGCTAAAAGCAGCAAACCTTTTGCAAAATAGCGCATTCGCCTGCACTAATATCATAAGCGTTTAGAAAAATTTGGATTGAAAAAATAGTTTTTCAAAACCTCTCCTGACCAATCATAAGTAAGTCCCTTCAAAGCTTGTCAGTATGAATGAATAGCCTATATCGTAGCCGCAAGCCAATAGTACGAAAAAGATGGAAAGGGCTTGGACGAAAAAGACTTGCAAAACGGAAAAAATTGAAAAGCAAAATTGTCACCTTTTTCCAACAATTTTCCTTAAGCCATAAAGTCTCAAATTATGGAATTTTATGGATTTCCGTACTAATGTACTGAACAGTTGAACATTCTTGCAAATAACTGTAAAAAGAGGGCCCCACCCTTACTCTTACAGAAATAAGCGAAGTTTGGCATTGCTTTCTTCAACAGAAATCCAAGGTGACTACCCATGTCGAGATGTCGATATCTCAGCTTAAACGATATCAGAAAATATGGTTAAGTTTTTACCAGATGCAGTACCAGAATGAATGAATCCCCTCATTCTCGCATGAATTCTGGACAAAACGGTGAGTGCAATGAGTTGCAATGAGTTATTGTGAATAAGCTTGGTTACCCACCTTCTCGATCCCTGTCCTTTAGAATAATAAAAGTCGCACTTATCCAATTCTATAAGCTTTTGCTGTTCCAGTTATATGCCATTTCCCTGCCCTCACTACGATCTTGTCCAACTTCGGTTGTTTATTAATCTTGACATCGATAGTTGATAATGGTTTGAGCTTGTTGAGCGTCGAATAAGATATTAGCCACACTTTATTCACTTTATTCTGGAGGCGATCCCGCCGAAACGTTGGCCGTGAATAAAGTGTGGCTAATATCTTGGTCGATGCTATATCTTGGTTGCTTAGCAAGCTCAAACACTTACTACGATCATCGGCATGCACACTTCCCTTTGTGCCAAATCCCAGCTCTTCAGATCGAGGCTTGCAAAATGATTGATGCAATGGTTTTCTCCAGATTATTACTTCAGAAATCAGTTGCTTACTTACCTTCGCTGCCAACTTCCATTTCAGATCAAGCTTTGCCAAAATATCGTTAGGATTGAGATTCAATAATTCTCAGAACGGCTTTATTCTAATTAGCATCCTTCCCCTTGCAGAGTCCGAATCATAGGTCAAATTCTTTGAAAATCGAAAGTGATGAGAAAAGCGATAACCTTTGCGTAATCGACATGCTCACTTAGTACGTCCCCTATACCATCCTCCCCTAAACTCAACGTTTGCTTCAGAATAACGAACATTTATCGCGATAAGGAGGAGTATCGTACAGCAGCCGTCCCTCCCGCGTAATTCTATTTTTTCAATTTGAAGTTGTTGCCGCAGACAGCTTTTTTGAGAGGGAAATTTTTGAAAGGATAACGTTACTCTGGCTAATTCTAGTCATAAAAGCATTCTTGTAAATTTCATTCAAACTGTGATGCATCGTTAGAGACATGCAGCATGTCATTTGTGCTCAAAGTTATGTAAAACAACGGCATTGTTTAATGATCATGAATGTGTATCTCTTAGCTAACGTGGATTTTATTATCCAAAGGTTGCAAAAAGTGCCCATCGACCACTTTATGTGTATACGAGTAACGCCAACTTTCTAAGCTGCCATCACATGCTGCCAATTTCTTCACCAATTGGCTGCTACTGTGGCCCAGAAATATTTCATATTCGATAAAAATGCCTTGATGTGCGACCAGGATTGGCTACAGTTAGTCAAAGACATAAACGTAATTTAACATAGGTAATTTTTTTGTGCATAATTAGAATGTCGTATATTTTGGAAACTATTTACAATACACTTTTCTACAGACTTACAAGAACTCAGAATTCGTGTTTAACAATTTTGTCGAGGCGGCTCTGAAGGTGGGAGGTAATTTGTTTTTGTAAGCGTACGTGCATAGGAATGCAAACGATAAAGCTGTGTTGTGAGAACAAGATATAAGGCACAGATAAAGGATAAGTATGTTATGTGAATAAGATCAATTGTTGCAGATATGAGGATGACACGCATTCTGCAGTATGATACATAAGTAAGCCACCACGGTGATCATAATGAGGAATTACAGTCCCAAGCCGCTGCTGTCAGCTACCAAGCGGCTGATGCCGCCTTCACCCGAACCACCTGCCTTCCCTGTTCGACTTCGTCAGACCTCTGTGATCCTCTCATATTTTCCCGCCAATAAACCATTACATGTTACAGTATTGCTCGTTCTTATGATAAATGATGCTATACCACCGTGTCTCTACCACTGAGTAAGCCGCTTCCAGCGCTACGTTCACTTTTTGGAAAGCCTGAAACGCTTTCAAATCTGCCATTCTTATCAGCAAAGCATTTAAGACGAGGAGAGGACTCAAAGAATAAAGCTAGTCATCATTTCGCTGAGCTTTCTGATGAAGCAGTGGTAATCTTTAGAGCACCCTGTATGAATACTCGTATCTTTGATATTTCCCCAATCCGTGCTCCATCTGAGCGCTAGAAATACCGTTTTTATTTAGCCACGCAGTCTCTGCTTCAACAAATACAGATAACCAGCCCGATCTTCCGCTAATGAAAAGCCAACTTGCAGTAAGCTTTTATGCTTCTCAAGACAATATAGATCACTTTCCTGAAAGGCATTTCATGAATCATTTTCAAAAATAGTGGATACGGAAGTGGCATTCGTAGCCAACCGCCCTGATTCTTCTCATCATTTGTAAGTAAAATTTTTAGCAACTTCGACCCAAAGGCAGTGTCTCGGCAAAATCGAGTCTGGCGGAATATAGGTATGGTGGTTGGTCATCTCGACCAACCTACCGGCCATATCCCGCTGCATGATGTTACCTCTGCCCCGACAAAAACCATTCGTTCGCGCGCTTGAAGAATCCGTTTACCTATTCCTTGCGGGACCACCACGGTCGCTCTGTGCATGCTTTCCAGTGCAAGATTTACAGGCGGCAGATTTTCATGCCGGGACCTCTCGACTTTCCACGTAAACTGTCGTGCAAGCTTCCTTTTCGTGAAGTATGTAAACGCCCTGTTAACGGTCGTTTCACCCGATTTGAAGCTCGGATTTACATTCTAAACGACGAGAAGGCCCAAAATATGCAGAAGACTCGAAATGCTGAATCTACCGAGCATTGCCTTCAAATTCAGCGTCCAGGCAGATCTGGACCTATGCCGATTTTACGTGGAAAGTAATTTTGGGCCCTAACTAAGGCACTGTACAAGCGGCAGCGCAGGTGATGCTCTGAAGGCTGAGAGATTCCCCTCGAAACTGGACCCCGCGATCGAATTCGCATGGATTCACGGCAGTTTGCGTGAGGACCCACGCTTTGCGCCATGAATCCATGCGAAATACTATTCCAGGGTCAGTTTTATGGGGAATATCTCAGTTAGAGCAATACCTGAGCTGCCGGTTGGGCAGTGGCTTAGTTGGGCCCCCAAAATTACTATCCACGTGAGAGCCCCATGTGTCCAGACTTGCCTGGACGCTGCCTCCAAGTGGTTGTCTTCTGGAGTTGTGATAAAAATATCTTTGTAGCTTACTGAGAATTAATGCACTTAATTATCGTATTCCCGTTTTGGATCGTACGGTTAGAGGAACTCTGAATTGACTTCCTTCTCAATGTGTACGCTCATATTACTCTCGTGCTTTGAAAGGGAAGCTAGATTTATTTATGAAAGTACTAAGCTTTTTGCAATATCAATGGTAAGTTCCGTTTGCTCTGTATAAATTCAGATTACTATGCAAACATCCTTGTTCTTATTAGTTAGACTTCACAATCATATTTTTGTTGTCCTATGACATTCACGATGAAGTAGTTAAGCCCTTGAGAAGTGGTTGTCATAATCAAACATAATCGCCCACTGATTGTCTTAAACTGTAGCGCATGGACAACTCAATGCCAGACACTTCATATTCATCCTGGGTACTGAACTGTTCTTGCCATCATCTTCATCTCAGTTGTTACATGGCTTGTAAAATTCAATTTTGTTCAAAATATGACATAGATACGGTATGTTAACGGTAGATTCTTTTTATGTGGTTCTGAAATTATTCTTTCTCTCCCAATATGTTGTAGCAATTCATGCATATATCTTACATTTATGTTTGACCGATGACTTGAGAAGAACCAAAACTAAGGTCTATTTGTTTTTGTACCCGCCTATAAATGCGGAACAGAGAGGGGTGCGTGAAGACGGTGACAGATAGCCGCGAATATATTAAATATATTTATCATTGTGGAGGGGCCGTGTTCGAGACATGTGCACTGTGAGTCGTAGCAGGAAGTACTAGAGTACTATTAGTTGACCTGGATAGCTTGAGGAAGCTGAAGCAAGTACGTCGCATTGCTTTTTGGAGAGAGAATATCACTAGCGGATTGATCATAGTGTTGATTGTGGAGAGAATAGTTACCATTTGAAATGATGTTATTTTATAGATATAAGGCGTTAGCAAGGGTAGTAGCCCACTGCTGCCGAACTGACTCAGACATATAAGCGAGAACTGGAGAATCTAAAAAGCTCTTTTGATAACAAAACCTTTGATGTAGATTGAAGCAGACAAAAAAGTCAACGTCTACTCCAGAAAAGACGGTCAAGGGGCGCGTTTTTTCGAAAAAACCAACAGCCCAACCTAAGGCTATACAAGTCCTCCAAGAAACAGACAAGCAACTTCAACGTACTAGATATCTGAAGTTACCGCTCGCTAAGTTTGACAACTTCCGTGAAAAATTGGTATTATTCACAATATCGCTATTGTGGTGTTTTCACGGATTTTTGACCTCCTACGTTTATGTTTCGAATGCATTTCAAAATGATAAGGTAATAAGGTTTTTATTTTCTCAGGAATTTGAAAGGCTTCAAGTACGTTATTGAAAACTGAAAATGCTATGGTGACCATCTGGCAATCAAAATCGCGCCTCTTGACATACACCCCTACTTCAGCACTCCTTCGCATGCTTGTGTAAATAAGAAGTTAAATACACGAATAATATAATTTCCGACTATTTTTTTGATACTTCAAATATAAATAAGGAAAGGAACGGATGCTTACCAATAGTGTGTCCGTTTTGCAAGAAGTTTGACGAGCACCAAACTGTATTCGAATTGCTAATATGCGGCAGAAAACAATAATATAAATGACGAGAATCGCCACAGGACAGAATAACCCCACATAACTCAACACAGCTCGATAATTGCCTCTGCAGTTACTAAAACAGAGACTTTCAAATGTAAGTAAAAATTTATTATTCGAAGGCATGAAAGCACATCATGATGCTGCGTACGGGTAACATCAAATGTGCGCCCATATTCATCCTTATCGCCATTGTTTTCCTCTTCTATGCACCTCGCTAGCATTTCAGGCTTTTTACATTTTCTCAAAAGGCGCTTTCTCGCGCAATTATAGCTCCATACAGTTTCTTACGCTTTTGGTACTTCGGTTACATGGCTTGACTGTGTGTTATTTATACAGGGTGTCCCAAAAAAATGTATCGAACGTTTGATCGTTAACATCTCTCTTCCCAAGAAGTCTTTTGCTTTGCTTCAGGTACCGTTTTGTAGAGCTGGCTTCAACTTAGATTTTCATTATAGAACGAAACACTCATCTTTCTTCATTACTGTGGGATTACGGTAGAAATTTCGAAGAGGGTTTCAAGCAGTGAAAGGCCATATTTTGCCTCAGAAAGGAAAACAGCCTCAAAACTTTTATAGTTGCTGATTATAACTGTAAAGTTCCCAACTTATTATGATGCTTCATTGAAGAGTTATGCCAGGTAGGAGGTAGCGGCCATTTTTTCAATGTTCCTAAAAAGTGCGGTTACACCGTTTAGAAGGCTTCTGATCTCGTGAATAGTTGAGTATTAAACTGAGTGTCCATAAAAACCCTATTACACAAGTTTTCACAATTTTTTGAAAAATTTTGAAACGGCAGCTTTTTCCACATTGACACCATATGTTTCAAGTTTCTACCGTAATCCTACAGTAATGATGAAAGATGGGTGATTCGTTCTATAATGCAAATCTAAGTTGAAGCCAGCTCTACAAAACGGTACCTGAAGCAAAGCAAAAGACTTCTTGGGAAGAGAGATATTAACAATTAAACGTTCGATACATTTTTTTGGGACACTCTGTATTGTAGTTCACTCCAATCTTTCGTCATCACTTCCCTCTATGATAAAATTGCTTTGCTTACCTGCAGTCGTGCGTGAAAGCAAGTGCATATGGATCTGTTCTCTTATAGCACCCGAAAGTGAACATGTGAGCTATAGCAAAAGCTGATATGACCAAGGGAAGGGCTGCCAAACATGGTAGGAGGATCTTGCTGCTGTTCAGACAACCATGCACCTATAAATGTTATTTTCTGACATTGTAACATTCTAGTCATCAAAAGCTGGGCAAAAGGCGGATTGCGCAGGGAGGTGACGAAATAAACAGCTAGTTAAATTCAAGAGAAACTTTAAGACCACTCGAGACCAAATTTTTCAAATTTTTGGATCAAACAGAGGTATTCTTTCTAATCCGCATCTTAATATCTTGACCTTAGTATCAGATATTTTAGGTATCTGATACTAAGGTTTACGAAGGAGTTTCATGTAGAAGATTATTATTAGATTTAGACTCTTCAATTGAATAATGTCTCAGTCAGTTGGCTGCTGTACTTTGAATAAAATAGCACAAACATAGAAATGAGCAAACCTTTGGCAAAAGAAAAAATAGCAATCGATCTAATGCGATTGCAGTCGTAGTCATCATGAAAGTAAGGAAAGACATGTTATCAGCCACGGAAATTATCAGATTTGCTGGATCTTTCATCTCGACTCGAAAAAATATGGACGGTATCAGTGAAAATAGCAAGGGTACTACACCGATAAGTCCTGCTACAGTTGCGATAAAAAGATATAGGCGCAGCGACTTGTGAAACGTATCATTCCGAATAACAACAATTGTAAGAGCTACGTTCATGAAAATCGATGTCATAGATAGAAATGACAGTATCAATCCATATAGAATTCGCCATATGGTTGTCCTTTCTTCGAAAGGTATACGCAAGGCACGAAGACACTGCAGTGCATCCGACATATCTGAATTATAACCACATATTTTGAGGTAGAATCACTCGCTGGTTACTGGAAGCGACCGCACACGCAGATGCACGAATATATGAGCGAACGAAACACATGAATGCTGCTACTTGCTCTACATTATACGGAAGAAGCTAATAAAAAACTAAAAATTTACGCAGATACGATGGGGAGCTCAAGAGTTGCTAAGTAATCTTACCTGAGTACGTAAGGTGAATTCAGAATGTAAGAAAAACTTGATGTACAACTAAGGTTACAATAACTCTACAATTTTCCCACAACTGAGGTGCCACTATCTTGCTAAAAGCGCGACTCTTAAAAGAAAATGTTCTGTGCTAAGAAGTAAGTAAGTGATTTGTTCAAATTATCATATGATTAAGGATGTGGCGGCAGCGCTCAGCACATTGGCGCTTTCACACGCTGGAAGTCTTTTTTATTTCAAAGGAAAAGCAAAAATGAAGTCGTAAATTTGCAGATGTTTCCGGGAAAATACAGTATATTATCAAGGGCAACTCCACCTTTAGTAAGCCCTTTAAGGCTCTAACGTCATTTCACCATCCAGGTAAACTAAAATGTTACGAACAGGTTTGGTACGCAGACCTAGATACAGATTTCAACGGGTTAAAACACAATTTTTACGCACAAGAAAGTGAATAATCAGTTTGTTTACAACGATGAGCGATATTGAGCCACCAGATTTCGGGAGTATCTTCGCGAAGACGTTGAAAAGGAGAGTACGATAAATTATGGAAAGACTATGTACTAAATGAAAGAAGCTGTTTTTTCCAAATTTAGGTTGCTGCCGCTCAACTTGGAAGCCCCCCCCCCCTAAGGTTGCGCGGGGTTTAACACATTAACGACCATAGCTTTTTTCGGACCAGCGAACATTTTTCAAATAAAAGCACGCACAATTCCATCTGCAGTACACCTACAGTAGCGCTGGAATGCTGGCAAAAACAGTAGAGGTTGCATCTAAATCCAGCATAAAAGAAAACTCCCGGAGTTGGTTTGACACAAATTAGTAGCCATTTCAATGAGAGTCATGGTGTGTAAAGCCTTGACACGCCATGTGTGTCAAGCGGTCGTCAATGTGTTAACAAAGCCATAAAGTCGAGTAGATTTTCCGCTTAATATAGTGCGCTTGCACTATATTAAGCCGGCAGTAATGCCGGCATTCTGCGCGCGCAATTGCACGGGCAAGCATATCTATTGGTTTATGCGCAAATTTTACCGCATTTTACAAAGTAAGCACACCATATTGAGCGGAAAATCTACTCAACTGTACTCCATCTTCTTCACATAATTTTTCGAAATTTTTTAATAAATCTATTTTTCGGATAAAATGTGCTACTCTCAAAGACGCAAAACTTCTATTTTGTATAATTTCTCACAAGTTCTAGATTAATCCTTTTCATACTATTCACTGCTTCTCTGCTATTTCTCTTTGCCCCACTGGCAATAGAAGGCAGGGTCTAAAGAATAAACGCACATTTGCCACGAAGCCTGCACACTCAATGCACAAAAGTTAAATTATTGAGATTACAACGTGTCAAAAGGGATCGCGTTTACCAAAGGCACTTTCGTCAAGCCTGCGTCGGTATTTAACCAAATCAGCACAACAACGCGGACGGTTCCCTTCAAAGCATCCACTCAAAGCTAATAAGGTTAAATGAAGTTAAGAGTGGCGATAGAGAGATAGAGAGATATTAGAATACAAACAGTCTCCCAAGGCGGTAGACAAGGAACAGCCTTACAGAAAGCATCGGTTGTCCAATGACGATAATGCCGCTCCATGAACTTTATTGCATTCGCTAATGCCGGCCGAAAGCAGCGAAGAAAATCTTCCTGGCTAATCAGTGTATCGAAATGGTGTAAATGGTTAGGCAATCACTGAATTGACGAAAACCACTGCACAAGGTTCATCAGCAGACAATGAAGAGTGTTTATGAAGACGCAAGCTGCATCAAACGCACGTTCGCTCATTTACGTTAAGCATCATGAAAAAGTACAATGTTTCAATGGCGCAATCAGAAATTTTCATTACATAATCTTGGACCAATACAACCATAACGAATTGCATGCTCTCGTCCTCCGCCTTCAGAAAATGTAAACATTGCCTGGGTCCATTAGAAAAAGTGCCGGGTGAAGGATGGGTGAGACTCTTATGATGCAAGTTCTCATGTGGCGGCTTTTTTTACTATTGTAAAAAGACGTTTACTTGAGAACTCCCATTATAGAAGTCTCACCCACCCTTCACCCGGCACTTTTTTTAACGGATCCCAGGCAAAGTATATTTTCTGAAAGCGGAGGAGGAGACGCTTCCAATGGTGACCATTTCCATGTACTATCTATTCATGTACAGAAGTTACGGATTTTTTGATCTTGAAAGCTCATAAATATCCAAAAATCACTACCCACACCCTTCACCAGGCATTTTTTTTCAACAGACTCGAGGCAAACTATATATTCTCTGAAAGCGGAAGACAAGATGTTTCAACAACAACTTCCTTGCTGACGTTGCTGTTTTCGCAGAAATTACGAATTTTTTCTTTTAGAAAATTCGCAAATGCTCAAAAATTGTCTAACTCTTTCCAAAATGTGCTGGTCAGAAACATTATTATGCGATGATCCAGCAGCACATCGGTTCACATTTCAGAAAAAAGACAATCAGTGATGGCAAGAAATTGGAAATTGTAAACTTTGATTAGGAAGAATGATGAGAGAACGCCATGTCCCCCCCCCCCCCCGGTCGACATTATATAATCTCTCTACCAAGTGAAGCACCCTTTACTCGGTGAAGCTGCGACCGCTGTGACCCGCTTCACCATGGAGGGGTCCTTCTCACCTTATGGCACCTACGATTACCGGGATGTTCTTACTTAACATGTTTCGGACCGGTGCTGCACATGGTGCAGCACGCGGCTTTAAAGTCTCTTTTTAACGTTTACAGGAGGTTTTCTTTTTTTCCAAGGTTATCAAGTCAAAGGCCTAAGCCCCTTCTTTTCAAATGACTCTGTAGAGCTGTGCCGCAGATACTAGGCTGGAAATTAAGTTTTGCAACTTGTTTCATAAACTCACTCTCTTTGGATATGGCGCACTCAAATTTGGCATTGTGTAGAAGGCAGTGTGAGCTACAAGTGAGCACAAATTGTCTAAATTTTGAACATAAAATAGAAGTTTCAGGCGTTTTTCGAAAACTAAAGGAATTTGAGAATTTTTGGGGTTTCAAGCTAAAATGAAGCCTTTGGCAGCCTAGACCATGCGCAGTGATCCGGATTCGTCTATAAATTATTGCTGGAGGTTGAATCCTTTGGCCTATTAAGAAGGAAACAAAATTTAGGGGCATTTCGAGATTTGGCGTCCTCATAAAGTCGAACGAGTCGATGTACACAAGAGCTGCTGGGGACGACCGTCAATAACTAAAGAGTCCGAAGCTCAAATTCCGCCGAGACTTCAAATAGTAAGGTTATTTGAAGGTTATCTGAGGAACGCGAATATCACATTCATTTGTTGGATCAACGCCTTTTTCCTCGTTTAGGGTGAGACCCTATATCGTACATATATCGTACACCTACACTAATCCTACAAAAATGCCCTTATTACGCAATTTCACTATCGTTTTCGTGATCAGCATGTTGGATAGCACCCCTATGCCAAGTTTCAGCCAAATCCGTCAAACTTTGAATTTTTCTCCTTCATAGAATGCACCTACCGTAATCCTCACTGCGACGTCAGAATTTGGTAGAACAGCAGCTGTGCTTGCAGCTTACGTTATAGTCAACGCTATGGCAAAATTTGAGTGCGCCATGTTGAGTGAGAGGAAAGTTATTGCTTGAGTTGCAAAAATTAGTTTCCAACCTAATATTTGTTTAGAAGATATGAGGACAAATCGAACAACGGTTGCAACGAGGTGCGGCAACGCGAACGACGCGTGCGACGTCGCAGCTTTTCTTTGCTTTGAATGCAAAGAGAAAAACCGTAGTTTCAACAACGATGTGTATCGTGCAACATAGATATTTTTGGATACAATTAGAAACTGAGTTCTTGTTCCTATCCTTCAAGAAAGCCCAGAAGTCCTTCTCAGACGACAAAATTCAAACACTTCGAATTCACTCAGAACTTTGGGTATGGAGCTTATCTGACATGCTGATTACAGATGTAGCATACAGTCTATGA